CGAAAGATTCCACAAATACCTTCCGCGTTACTACTTTGATTACATTTATAAAGAAGTTTGTGTACTTGGCCCATAGTTTTGTGATATCGTTTTGCAGTTTTAAAATATTCATGTACATCTATTTCAGCTGCCTCATAGAGTTCTTTCAGTCTGCTATCTATGAGCGATTGTTTGGATCTACGATGCTGTCTTCTAAAACTACGCTTTGCTTCTTTATATTTAACAAAGTTCTCATCGTTCTTAGCATGTGACCTGCCAATCTCTGGCCAATGACGTCTTTTACTGCGCATTTCATCATGTAATAACTTCAGGTTGTCTTTTTTCCAGTAGGGTTTAATCTTCGTTGATGGGATACTTACTGCAGTAGATGCATGGAGAGCTTCTGTAATGTACTTGTTATACGTTTCAATATATTCATTATGGGATGGGAATTGGGACAACTTGCATATGTCTTTACGAAAGTAATTTTCAGTTTCATTACGATACAGCATAAGATCAGTATCACAAGCTATCTTCCAATTGAGCTTATATGCACCATATGTTTTTTAGGACAGTCATTTGTTATACACAGAAGGATAGGCAGATGGTCTGAGACAGTATATGGTATATCGGTATCAATAGTATAACCAATAACGTTATTCAGATAATCAACACTCACAAACATGTAGTCTTTCATTGTTCTCACATCTTTGCATTTGTTTGAGAATGCATGCTTAGTAATATCGTCTAATGGTACAACTGAATATGGGGTTCGTTCATTTTGTACCCATTGAAGACAACGAGATCTCATTCTTTGGACAGCAGATGGTCGTATATCTGCATTAAAATCTCCAGTAAGGATAGTAAGATCATGTTGTGAGTATATGTCATACAATTCCATCACATAATCCAGCTGTTCGAAGTATACACTGTCTAAGATGTAAGTGGAAGGTAATCTAGTTCCTATCACATATAACGAGGTTTCGCAGTATATAACAGTTTCGTGTGCACAGTAGTATATCCGTGACACATATACCGGTACCAAGCGGCCTGTGAGCTGAGACATTTTTAATATATAAAGAGACAGATATCAATTTTACGCGATCTATTTCGATTAATCTGTTTCAGGTTATACCGATGTTAAAATTAACTACCACTTTCTTAATGTTTAAGGTTCTACTACACTAAATCAGAACTGGTTGTGACAGTGCGGTTTTCGTAGGGAGCCTTCAGTACAGATCAAGAGACATATGCAGGCTGTGATTGGATGATATTGTGTAAGATTTTTATGTCTTTTAAATGCACATCCATCCAGTAATTAAAACTGCCCATATTTTTCAATATTTGGTGCTGACTTTTTGAACAAGATGACTTGTGCTTTATGTGAGCACAGATATTTTCAAGCAGGTGATATTTGGTGCGGAACTGGGGTTGGTGTGTTCAGCTTCCTGTACTCGGAAAAGGAGCTGGGTAACCTAGCCAAAATTTGTGTTTTTATTGCAGCTTTAAGGCCAGACTGTGCACATATGTAAATGTTATGGCTGTTGAATGCCTAGTTATTTTTTAAAAAGCTATAACGTTACTATAGAAGTCTATGGGAAAACATTTGGTTGTGTGTAACCTTAAAGCGTTCGCACATCACACCGAAGACCCGGGTTCAATTCCCAACTCCGATACAATATGTCAAGCCCATTTCTGGAGTTTACCTTACCCTTGGTCGAATACCAATAAAAGAGCAGTAACCCCCTACTCACTCATAAATAACTTGTGTAGATAAGAGTGAGTGAGTTGGGTTTAACGCCGCTTTTAACAGTATTCCAGTTATATCACGGCGTGTCAGCTTACTGTGGGAGGAAAGCCCGAAGTGATGCAGGTCTCAGACGTTTACCACTTCGGTGAAACCCACGAGAACGGGTATGGTGCTGACAAACCTAGAAATATAATCGGGGCGAACCGGGATTCGAACCCACAATCATAGGTTTCTGGCGTTCCCAAGGGACGCAACTCTGTACAGCGAATCGCGGCGCCTTAGACGACTGGGCCACCCGTGCCCCCGTGTAGATAAGATAATAATGTGAATCTGTTTGGTTGTGTTTTTTTCACATCAACGCCGGTTTATCTGGTCCTTACTCAATATAGCGCCGTGGTGTTGCCGTGAGAGTGTATGTTGCAAGACCTGCTTGAATAATAGAAAGGACATTACTATCGGGTTTCATTTGAATATTTTTATATGAAGGTTTGACCTTGACCGTGAAGATATGTTCTTGATTCGAATCCCATAAAATTTAGGAGCATGTTCCTTGGTTTGTCAACTCATGTGAGAAGCCCATTCCTTATGTCCAAAGCGTAAAATCATACTCACTCACTCACTCATTTTGACTTTCAGAACGACGGAGTAAAACGCAGAGAGCTGAACAAGTATGGATGGGACACAATACTGAGGATCTGATTGGATTTTTGCTTTTGTTATTTTAAGGTTTGTTTTTCGTCTTCATGGTACAATGTGTTAAGCCCATTTCTGTTGACCTTCGCCGTGATTTTGCTGCGCACTCACTAACTCACATGGGATTTTTCCAGGTTGAAGTCCGAAGAGAAAGTTCTTGAAAACTCCTCGTCAACGTCTGCGGATGTGCAAAGCAACTGTTATCCGGATATACAAAACATTTAGATCATTTCGTACTGTATATATACCTGCTCATTGTCCGCCGTCATATAGCCATAAAGCTAGACTAGCAGCATCAATTGATAAAAAAACCGGCTAATTGTTCAGTGGCACACATCAAACGTCCGTTTAGAGAAACACGCTAAAATAAATAGCAACAAGACGTAAAAGCAAAGGTAATATATTTATTCATTTATCGAACTGCTTGCGTAGTCAAATCATTGTTTATTGTTGCTATTGATAGCCTTAACTGATCATTACCGAGATCAGACGTCCAGAGAAACGTTATTGTCTCTTCGTCCATTACTATATATGCGTTACGATTATACTGTTAGTCACCTTGGTCAGTGCTGCTGTAAGGGCGACCTCGAGCAGGATGTGCCGCTCGTACGAAACGTCCCAAGGTTGAGCTGGAGCTCCGCTCACCTCATGTATGTCTGAGCTGGAAGGTCCTCTCATCGTTGTGTTTGTGTTGTCAGGGTAGGTATTCCGCACATTGTGTATTTGTTGTTTATTGTTTATGCACTCTTCAAAAAAAGAAACGCACATGTAAAATTATAGTAAATTTATTGTAACTTATAAAGTCTATATATTAATTTAATATCATAGATAAAAATATGAAATTTTGGCGCTTGATAGTCACATGTTGTCGTTGTACACAGGCATTGAAATCTGTTCAATGTCAGGTCACATAAGGCCACAAGGTTACGCTGAACTTGGTATCTCGTGTGACCGCCCCGAGCGGCAATCACGGCTCTGCATCTCCTCGGCACTGCCTGGATAAGTGTACGAATTCTGTCCTGCGGAATTCTGCGCCATACTGATTGTAACGCTTTGGTCAGTTGAGTGAGTGTTTGCGTACAATCAAAGCGATCGAGTTCATCCCAGGGGTGTTTGATTGGGTTGAGATCTGGAGATCTCGACGGCCGGGGCATGACGTTGATGTTGGCATTATGAAGGTAGTCTACCGTAACACTAACTGTGTGCGGTGGAGCGTTGTCCTGTTGAAACATTTTCCTCTGGCGGTCATTGATTGGAAGAAGGTGAGGTTGAAGAATTTGATTCATGTAGCGGTTTGCTGTCAAATATTCCTGAACAACAATCAAGTCAGATCTCGTGGTGTAGGATATGGCCACCCTCACCATGACACTACCGACGCTTAAATTGTCGAATTAACGTACACAATTTTTTGGCAAAAAGCTCCTTTCGACGACGATAAACACGTTGTCTTCCATCTCGCCGGTAAAGAAGAAATCCTGATTTATCACTAAACCACACTCGTCTCCAGTTTCTCAAATTTTAAGGCTGTAAGGTATGGCACCAACGCAAGCGTCGCTGTCGATGGATCTGTTCGAAAACAGGGACGAAAACTGGTCTTCTGAGTCGGATTCCCGCCTCGCGAAGATGGCTCCTGACAGTCTGGTCCGATATCCTCCTCAAACCAGGGATCCGCCCTGCAGTCTCCGTAGCTTTGGCATTGCGATGACGTAGGTGGAACAGTGGAATGTAGTGATATTTTGCAGGGCTCGGCCGGCTCTCGGACGGTCTGCAGTGGATTTGAACTGTGTGTATCGGTTCCAAAGGCGGCAAATGGTGCTGTAATGGACGTTGAAGTGGCGTGCAACAGAAGACTGCGATTCCCCTTTTTGGATACGTCCTATGGCGATGTTCCGATCGGCAGCGCTGAGTCTCGGCATTTTCGAACTTGAAAAATGTTGACAATTGAATGAAAAATTATTGGCTTATGCTTGCCTTCCTATAGCCACTACCACGAGTTACGAATGCCATAACTTGCACGTGCTTTTTGCTTTACTGTTTTCCTCCATGACATTTTTGAGTGTGAAAACAATGCCGTTTAAGACATTGCAAATCGACAATGGCTGCGTTTTGACCGTTTGTCGAATATCAGGCCACCAACATTTTCCAATGATATATCTCTGATTTATATACCAGATTTTTTGTGTAGTCAGGTTCAATGACGTACATACAACCTGTGCGTTTCGTTTTAAGAGTGTATGTTGTGCAAAAAAACGTTCCGGAACAGTGATGCCCATCAATAAGACCCAATTCCCCGTTAACATGTGCGTTGACAACTGTCTAATGTGGCAGCAGCTGGTCCTACAAGGACGGTTAATCAATTCCATGTGTAAACAGAAGATTTTATAAGTTATAAATTAGCAACAGCCTGTGGTATATCACAACTAACATAATTTATCACGTTACCTTAGCGACGAATCAGTAGAAATTATACACGTGAGTAATATCAAAGTGACATGAATGATTAATTATAAAGCTATAAACGAATATGATTGAATTGACAGCTTTCTGACTATTGGCATTTGCTTCTATGTGCAAGGTGTTGTAGGCTGTATTAAAATGGCACGTCTAAATCGCTCCAACATCGTCCCAGGTCTGAAGCGTGCACTAGTGTCCTCCAAATGTCTTGACGGTGTCGCATGCAGTGACAACCAGCGTATTGCAGACTACAGCTTGTTCTTCAACGAACAAACGAAACTGACAAAACCGGCACCTATTTGGAGGTATGTAGGTACGTATTCAGCTCCGGTTTCTTGTATTTATATTTGCACACTGTGTACTACATTCACGCGATTTAATCTTTGATGTCGGTTTACCTGTGTGTTAATCAGAGAGTCTTTGTATAGTACATGCATGGCGAATGATATGGCATGAGTTCATGGCATTAAGCAAATGCGCATACAGACAATGTAACATACTACTTTGGTCACGCCAATGGACGATCTCATCCCTGCTTCGAGAGTCCTCCTGGTCGTGAACGGTAAACATATACCTGAGTGAGCTTATGCCGCTTTGAAAAGTATTCCAGTTATATCACGGCGTGTCAGCTTAATGTTGGAGGAAAGTTCGAAGTGATGCAGGTCTCCGACGTTTATCACTTTGGTGATGCCCTCGAGCACGGGTGTGGTGCTGACAAAACTAAAAACATAATCAGGGCGAACGGGATTCGAACCAATGATTACTGGTTTCAGGCACGTCAGAGATGGGCCACTTCCGGGCGCGAGCATGGCTCTTGTGACGTAACTCCGTGACAAACTGGTAACACTTCAAAAATGGAATCGTGAGGCCACGATGGATGATCAGTGTCGTTAGTTTCTAGTGACAGGACAGTAGGGCAGATTAACTCTAACCAGCCTGTTTGCAATCATACTTCGGTGGGATAATTATTTTTGTCTGATACTGCTACTGAAAGAATATATACGCCAATGTTTGATGGTGACTTAAATGAGGCGAACAAGAAATGTTTTTTTTTATGATAATGCAATGGATACACCTATCCTAGATGGACTTTGAAGTGTTTCGGCGACTGTTTTCAGTCTAGTAACGTTTTTTGATAACGTTTGTAATTTGTGTGGTCAAATCCAATTTTCAATTGCAGTCTTCCTTTTGCCTTGCCGTTTAGAGTAACAGAAGGGATTTCTTATGGGGATTGTGATTATATCACGACTTGTCTCCGTGCAGAACTTGGTTCTTGGTTTCGAATCCCAGATTATTTCAGAGTATATGCCCTTGGTTTGTCAGCATTATACGTGAAGCCCATTTCTGATTTCCCCCGTTGTGGTATTTCGGCAATATTGCTAACAGCGGCGTAAAATTATTCTCACTCATTTTGACTTTCAGAACAAAAGAGTAAAACGCCGATATCTGGACAAGTATGGATGGATGGAGGATTCCCAAACAGCATACAGTTTCCCCTTCTCAAAGCAACGTTAACGTTAAGGTTAAACACATGTTTTTCTCATCATATCGGTCAGTGGAATTATATTATGACGTGGTGGATTACAAATCGTTGCCCTGGTGACTCGAATATATGCCTAGAACTATGTGACATCACGCTAAATGGCAATTAACTTTGAATATCTTACCAGCCTCTACGGCTTGTCCAGACTATATTATATATGCTGGTCAGGCTTGGTCACTTTGCTGTTTGGGTATCATCATACACCGTGGAAATGGCACGATGCTCATAATATCAACCACTGTTTTTTTCTGTCCCAGACTACATAATTGTCAGGCCGCTTTGATATATACTGCCAGACAAAAGAAAGTATACACCCACGTTCGATGGTGGCTAACAAAATAAAACAAAGAGGGGAATCGTAATTCGATAATGATGATCTATTCCATAGGGAATCATAGTTGTGTTTTGGTTGAAGTGTTTCGGCGATTGAGTAACATTTGGATAAGGTTTAACTTTTTTCATCAAATCCAGTTTTGATACCCACAAGAGTAAAATGTCTTCTTTTGCTGAATAAACTCTCCAAAAATTGACGATAGATATTGCTGCAGAAAAATATTTATTCCGCCAGTTATTCCTGCAGAAAAAAATTCTTCCTCGCTTCCTTCTGTGTGGTCAAGATCGGACTGCTGGCCATTTGCTGGAACAGGAAATAGTCACTGGGGGCTAAGTCTGGGCTGTAGGGTGGGAGATTTAACTGTTCGAATCCACATTCACATAATTCACATATGGATTTCTTTTGCTTTGCATCCCTCCTTGGTTAAGGGATTTATTACAGCGCGTTGTCTATGTTTGAGAGAATCCATGATTGTGACCAATCTTAGGTGAATGAAGCCATCACATCTAACTTTTTGCTGTGTCTGGAACTTGTTATGACACGTGTCAACCTGATGTTATGACTAGCTATAGTGTCACACCTGCCATAAGTTGATATTGTTTGTGTAAACACAAATGCCCAAGTTGCCAAACTCATTGAACGCCCCTCCTATGTTATGAGATGTTTAGGCACATGTCCGATTCTGCTCTTTCAATTATCCAAGATCTACTAAATATTTGTTGTTCTGGGATTATTCCTAAAGTCTGGACGCATGCCAATCATGGAAAGATTAGTCACAAATCGATTGGATTATCCTTATGAGAAGAATAGCCTTCTGTCAAGGATACTGTCAAGGACTTTAGAAAGGGACGTTCATCTACAGGTCATCATGTACGTCTCAAGACAGAAGGGGTGGCACAGTCGTCTAAGGCGCCGCGATTCGCTGTACAGAGTCGCGTCCCTTGGGCACGCCAGAAACCTATGATTGTGGGTTCGAATCCCGGTGGGCCCCGATTATGTTTCTAGGTTTGTCAGCACCATACCCGTGCTCGTGGGTTTCACCGAAGTGGTAAACGTCTGAGACCTGCATCACTTCGGGCTTTCCTCCCACATTAAGCTGACACGCCGTGATATAACTGGAATACTGTTAAAAGCGGCGTTAAACCCAACTCACTCACTCACTCAAGACAGAAGCACAAGAAGCTCCATGCAATCAGGAGGAAATGTTGTGCGTCTTCCTCGATATTGAAATAGCATATGACATGATCTGGAAACAAGGACTTCTTATAGTCGGATTCGAACAATCAACCTTTCTATTAGCAGAGGTTTCAGTTGAATATGGAAAGGGTTTTGTTGCTTTTATTTCAAATTACAGAATCTGGGTTAAAATCAACATTTTCTGATCGTTCATTCGTTTCTTTTTGAAAGGTCTTTCAAGTTCTCATGGGACAGGACCTTTCTGGTATATGAATGCATTTTATAGAAAATGATACCCCCACAAGGTAGTGTTATTAGCCCTGTGCTTTTCAATATTATGATAAATGACTTTTTCACACACAGATTCACCATTAAATATAGAGATGCATCACAGTTGATGATGGATCATTTTGGAGATAGTTTGGAAATTTAAAGTTTGTCACTGAATGAAATCAGAAATGCTAAGACAAAAAGGTACTGTGTGGAGTTTTAAGGTTTCTCTGTTGCAATAATGATAACGAGCCGTAAAAATCCTCAAAGCATAGCGCTAACTCATGATGGCCACAAAACAGAAAGTATTCTGAAGTATTCTTGTTGTTTATTTCGACCAGATACTAACTTGTGGTTGTCACATGATTTATGTTGTGAACAACAGTAATAAGGTTATGAATCTGCTGAAGTGCATTGCCAAAAGACGAAATGGTGTGGTGATAAATCCTCAAATTTATTGCTATATGAAGCATTTATACTATCAATGGCTGCCGGCTATATATGTTTGCCCCATGGTTACATTTGCAACTACCCAACAAAGTTTCAGCTCTCCGGGTTGAATGCTCAGATATACCACCCCTATTTTGGCCTTTTCATCATGAACACGTGTCTGTCAAATATTTTCTCAAACTCAAATCTAAAACCCACCATAATTCAGCTAATAACTGTGTTGAGTCTGTGACTTGCGATTGGTCACGCGCACCTCCGTTGTTGCTCCGTTGCTGCTTCTGAAACCAGGGCTTTGTTATGAACTGAACTCAACCATCAACAAAAGAATGAGTCGAAATGTAAAAAAAAGCCTTATCTCAGGATTATAAAACTGAAAATTATGCCTACTTCACACATATGTTTACTAATGCCTCATAGGATTCGGTCATGTTTCGTACTGCTGGGGCATATAGGGTTTTGGATGTTCACACTTCAAGTGTGTTCAGGCTAAAAGACCGCATTTCTGTATTCGCTGCTGAGCTTATAACTATTCTTCAAGCTCTTGGACGGCTTATTGAGAATGATCATGACGCAGTTATATTTACTGAAACCATGACGGCTGTTAAAGCAATTGAATCTGTTATCAATGGTTCGCGAAGACACATTGTTCATGACATATTAGAGATGGATACATCGTTGAAGTGAGTGAGTGAGTGAGTTGGGTTTAACGCCGCTTTTAACAGTATTCCAGTTATATCACGGCGTGTCAGCTTAATGTGGGAGGAAAGCCCAAAGTGATGCAGGTCTCAGACGTTTACCACTTCGGTGAAACCCACGAGCACGGGTATGGTGCTGACACACCTAGAAACATAATTGGGGCGAACCGGGATTCGAACCCACAATCATAGGTTTCTGGCGTGTCCAAGAGACGCAACTCTGCACAGCGAATCGCGGCGCTTTAGACGACTGGGCCACCCGTGCCCCCGATACATCGTTGAAAGCACAGTATATATAGCGTATGATATTGCATGGAAATGATACAGCAGACCAACTTGCGAAATCTGGCTTCCAATATCTTGTCGTAACAATATCAGAAATCAGACCCCATCCAAAAGATTTTGACTTTATTTTAGCAAATCTTTCAAGGCAAATCTGGCAACCGTTAAGGGATGCTGGGACAACTGGCCGACGAATGAATACGATCTGTCCTGCAAAAACCAATAGGACAATAAGTCGACGAAAGACACGCAAGAAAGTCATATTTACTAGACTCCGGGCTCATTTGGATGAAAATACTCCCGAGACAGTGAAAAAGTTATTTAATTGAATGTCCAGGCCACGTTTAGGAAAAAAAAAAGGAAAAGCATTACTGGAGAAAGACAGCTCATTATCTCTCATTACGCTTTTGGTCCCCAACATATTTTATTGTTCTCTTCAGCGGGAAATATTAGATCTCGTGACTGAATCTGGAAAACTTGTTGTAGATACCAAATATATACCTACATTATGTATTGACGTTTAAACAAATTAAAAGGTTTTCATTTTTTGTGTCATCTGGGTTTTTTTATGGAATGAGTTCTTACTTTTCAGAAATGAAATAATGATTATTGATGTTTTAAAATATATGCTAGACCATTAGCAGATTGGTTAATCATCTTATTTCCATTACTACTGGTGTCTTTGTTGAAAGAGATTTGATGTGTTGGTCGCAAATAGACTTTTAATGGATCATGTCGGCTTGGAAGACTAATAAACAAACTCAATCATAATATACATAAATCTGGGATTATTGATAAATTCAATAATGTTAAAAGACGATTGTTACTGCATATATAGCATGATTGTACAAAACGCAGAAACAAACGTTTAAATAGAAACAAATATCGTTATTGATCAATTCGATCAGCAGATGTATTGTGAATCAAAGCAAGGAAAGGAGAGGGATGATATTTAATTAGTACAAATAATAGAATGATTGGATGTGTTCAGTCGTGATCCACACAGATGGATCTACATGGGTAACAAGCGGACGACGTTCGACTAACGCTTTCACACATTCGTGTCAAGTAGCCGTTCAACAAATCAGCTGATACAACCAGAAGCATGATGTTGTGATTTGAAACCTGTCATTGACCCATTAGACTCAAGTTTTCCAAAGCTGAAATAATACATACATATCCTAATGCTTCTTCGATACAGCTCTGATTCTTCCCCGCCCTTAAGGCGGGGAAGTATACGGGAAACGTTAATTTTGTAGCATGTATGTCGACATGTTGGTTTATTTGAAATTTCAAGCCACGCATTTACGGAAAAAAAACATACAAATCATGTGCGTGGAATGTTGATGCTATTCTATTCCAGCAATAAGAGATACTTAAAAATCGTCTTTATGTAGTTAATTGATGCATCTGACCGTTTCTGGTCATTAGCTGACATTATTAAACCATTCATGTGTAATCCGATGTCCTTTTTTCCTCAAGGACTAATTTTCTGATTTTCACGGTGTATACAAAAGAAGAACTGTGCTCCGGAAATCGTAAATAACAGCATAATAAGTATTATAGTATGTTCTGAATATGCTTTTTCATGAACAACGACGACATCTCAATTTAAATGTAATATCGCTGAATTCCACATTCTACATACCACACTTTTGATTGTTTCGATGCTCATGTTCACTGGAAATATTTGGAATAGTTATATCCCGTATTTTGAATTAACCCAGTCCCCTGTTTTTTTTTTAATCAGTGCACCGCACATAGCCACATGTGAAACGTTTGGTAGCAAAATCAAAGCAAAATCAGAGTAGTGTGTCGGCGAATTTGCATCAAGGCTGTAGTATTTTTCAACCGTTTAATGGAATTCAATGTACAGCCGTAGCTCTGGTCACTCATATATTTTGTGTCCCATGGCTCAAATCTATTTGCGTCTGTACCGTGTTCCACTGACCTCGATAATCTGTTGGATGAAGGCACAGCTCTCTACAGTCACATAGTTACACCGAAGGCTATGAGGGGTATTTAGGTCATAACCAGCTCCCAGCAGCCACTGCCTCAAGCGATATTGTCTACATAACAGATCAGTTTTATGGCTCCGTCACAGGTGCTCCAAATATTGAAGCAGGGAAAACAAATTTCATAGAATCATTTCAACAAGCAATATTGATATCCCCGTCACTTTTGGTAACTTTTAATGATGTCTCCATTGCAATTTTTACGGATTTTGATTCGTATGCATTATTTGACTCTCATCAGCGGAATGGTTTGGGTCAGATTGATCCGAATGACACAAGCGGTTTTACTTCTGTGTAGTAGTATGGTTGAATTGTTATGTTACATCTTAACAGTATATCAGGCGACTATGCTTGTCGTAAGAGGCGACAAACGGGATCGGATGGTCAGGCTTTGGTTGATGCATGGCATCGATCCCAATTGCGTGGATCGATGCTCATAATATTAGGCACTGGATTGTCTGGTCCAGACTCGATTATTTACAGAACGCCGCCATATAGCTGGGATATTGCTGAGTGCGGCGTTAAACGTCAAACCAATCAATCATCATCATATGAACTCAAACCAGTCATTGTTACAAGTAAACCACATTCCACAACAGTTACTTACACTGGATAAAAAAACAGTACATATAAAAAACCAAGTAACTCAACTCATCATGATCACAATTCCTATTCTTTGAAAGAAAGAAATACAAAAAAGAAACTGACCAAAAAACGTAAAACAAGAGAAGAGGAATCTCCGTTATTGATTAGTCCCGGTATTGAAATGTTCTCCAACTACGTGATAATATTTTGAGTATGTGCATCTGTGGTTGTGACAAAAAGACCTTATCTAGTATGACTTTTTTGCCATATGGAGCACTTAGTATTTTCATTTACATTATTATAACCAAATGCCAAGTGTAAAAAGGATGTGATCTATTATCTGAGTATGTGCATCTGCCAATGTTGTTGGCAGTTTCGATACTATTTCCACATGTTTACAATTGTGCCAGAAATTGCTTCCATTTCCTTCGATCTACTTTTTAAATAAAGACCCAGGTTAGAATAGGTCTTCAGCAACCTATGCTTGCCGTAAGAGGCGACTAACAGGATTGGGTAGTCAGGGTCGCCGATTTGGTCGATGCATAACATCATATTCCAATTGCGTAGTTCGATGCTCTTGGTGTCAATCACTGGATGATCTGGTCCAGACTGGATTATTTACAGACCGCCGTCATATGGCTGGAATACTGCTGAGTGCGGCGTTAAACAAAAAACTATTTTTAAATAGACCTACCCTATGCATATGTATCAACCGTATTGCCCAATTTTTTTCCACAACAGCGTTGTGTTATTTGTGGTTAATATAATTATGCTCCATCATGCCTTTCAGTAACATCATAATTATTCGTTTGTGAGGCATCACATATGGCAGGGAACTTTGATGCTCTGCATTAATGTTTTCTTGTAACTGTTCTGGGGCTTGCATCACTTCGGGCTGTCTACCCACATTAAGCTGACACGCCGTGATATAACTGGAATACTGTTAAAAGCGGCGTTAAACCCAACTGACTCACCCACTGACTCACTCTGATATTACGCAGGAAGATAAACAACACACGACGCAATGATGGAATGAGTGATGATTTTCGCCGCTTTTAACAATCTGTCAACAATATCACGACGGGGCACAGCAGAAATGGGCTTCATCCATTGCACCCATGTGTGGATCAGCACCGAGATATCGGCGTAACATGTACAAGCGACCGATTTAACCACTGGGCTACCCCACCATCGTTCTCTTGATGGAGTAAACTTTATATTTAGTAATGCTGTTTTCACGACGAAGGAAAGAAGTTACGGGTGTAATCTTCTTGGAAGATTAAATAAATTCTCTTTTCTTATGAAGTATTACTGCTGTCCTTACTAAGACCCTAAATTGAAGGCGCGAATAAGACCCGAAAATGCAGAAGTAAAAATATTTACTATACACTATATATGTGAATGATCATTTTTTACAGCGATGGTAACGAGATAGAAATTACGCCCGTTGAGATGAAACGTGGTCTGCAGTATACAAGCTCGAAGGGGTAAGAATACCGTAGTTCCATCAGTAGCCAATCCAGTGTTTTTTTAAAAAAAAGTTAATGGTCGGGTATTTTTTTCTGGAATATGTTAGATACAATAGGCACAGAGTTCTAAGCTATGCGATTCTCTCTGCGAGTCAATTCTGAACATATTAAGAATCTCTCTATCTCGAATTCAAGGTCTACCCCGATCATTTACCCAAATGGCTAAGCTCCAGGATCAGTTTAACTCCGGGAGAGTACAGGTGAGGTGGATGGGTGACCGTTTTTCGCAAGTTTCACATCGGAGAGTTTCCCGAGCTTCGTCACACTGAAACATATTATGTGTAGTTGCTACTGAGGCAAGTGACTTGGTTCGAAATATGTTTCGTGGCAACGAATGGGTACCCCGTAGGATGAGATGGCTTAGTGAATGAATGCGCTTGATTCTCCTCATCAATGTAATTTGAGTGTACTATGATCCATTCACCGGATGATTCAACTTGCGGCGACATGATCACGCTTTGAGGCAATTAATATGGAATGGAACTATTTTATCATATTTTACAATTTGAATACTTGAACGCCAGGATGCCAAAGATCCGAAGATGGGTGGATGAGCTATACAGGCGTGTACACAAACCTCCAACAATGGACGCCGGTGGACTCCCCTCATCCCTCGCCTTGCTACTCACCCCCGGGGGAAGATATGGCGTGGTCCAGGTACGCGACATTTTCATACCAATGTAACACCCTTTACAACTCAAACAATATCAATCACGGAAAACAGCAAATTGTATGTTAGTGTATCAATAATATTTATATTCAGCCTTTTTCAAGTCCGATAAATGAAATTCACGATTACAAGACCATTAAGATTTAGCTTAATCCTAATTATACATCATAATTATAAAGAGTTGTGAAGCTGGTAAGTTATTATGTGATTTGAAAGAAAAACTTGTTGTTTATTGACACTTTAAGAAACTCCTTTTAACTATTTTTATTCAGGCCATCAGGATGCTTGTGGAAGATGGAGGTTGTTTTCTCGCTGAAGAAGTGATTTACCAGACAATAAGTCCTACAGTAAGTATGGGCTGTTCGACCACCAAAACCTTTTAATTAGTTAAGGGACCTACCATATTTATTTATCTAAAACAATGAGCCTAAATTGATTTTAAGAAACATACCTAGCAACAATATAATTTTTGAGGCAGGCAATTTCTCTTTTTTAACACATTTAATGTTTTCAAAACTTTTCGTGGACAATTGATTAAAAAAACCAACCCAGAACCAGAATGTCAAATGGTCGTTCGCTAAGGGCCGACCATTTGGGGATTGTATGTGTGTGTGTGTGTGTGTGTGTGTGTGTGTGTGTGTGTGTGTGTGTGTGTGTGTGTGTGTGTGTGTGTGTTTCTCATCTAAACACTCTATTACCCCTGCTCATCCACTTTGGCAAGTAAACACTCTCTCACCCGTCATCCACACGCTTACTCACCCAAACACACTCTTACCTATCACTTACTCACCCAAACGCTCTCTCAATCAACTTCTCACAATTTCTAACCAAAAACACGCTCTTACCCATACTCACCCTCTTACACACTCAAACACACTCTTACCACCACTTACTCACCAAACACACTCATACCCACCACTTACTCACCCAAACATTCTCTCACCCACTTACTCACCCAATAAAACACCCGTTAAAAACAACAAAACACCTGACTCAAGGATTCCTTCTTCTTCAGTACTTACCACGGAAAGTCAGAGGCGTTCCAATCCGAAGTGATAATGAAGGTATGGACCCTGTCCACCTCAAGCAGGTGTTGTCCGAATGGGACGAGGGGAGCCAGGGACGGCGTCCCCATCTAATGTACATCGTCCCTAGTCTAAGCAACCCCACGGGGAAGACCCTGAGCGAACAACGGAAGAAGGACCTCTACAACGTTGCCCGAGAGTTTAACATCCTTATCTTGGAAGACGATCCGTACTACTTCTTGCAGAGCGTCAGTTTTATATCTGCCTTTTCATGTATTTAGTGATGGAATACGTTATTAATGTGAAACAAGCCCATTGCTAGTGTCCCACGACAGGATCTTGCTGGAACACTGCGTTGTAAAACAAACTCACTCACTGTCTTGAACTGTCAAATCAATACTTTATGCAAGAACTATTTACAGCCTGTCTCAATAACACTAGTAAGGTTTTGTTGTGAGATCTTGAAGATAAATAAGACAACATGTAATAAATAGACGATTGGTGTCAAATAACATGTTAATTTCATGTCGTGACATAAATAAGTTGGCTGACTTGGTTGATGCATGTCATCGTATCCCAATTGCGTGGATCGATGCTCATACTGTCAATCACTTGATTGTCTGGCCAAGACTCGATTATGTACAGAACGCTGTTATATAGATGGAATATTGTTGAGTTCAGCGTTAAACAACAAACAAACAAAACATAAATAAGTTGACATTGGCAATATCATCCTTGACAGGTCATACCATGAAATAAACATGTTGTTATCTAAGAAAAAAACATCTATATTTTCTGTATTGTTTGACTTGGCAAAAAACGTTTATAAACTAACCTGTAGCTAAACTAGTTTGTTGTAATTTATGTCAATCGAACAGATTTTCAAAATACTATTCATTGGCATCTTTGCCAAGTCCTTAAGTGAGATAAACATGTTATGACAAGAAGAAAAAACCCAATCTATCTTCTGTGCTGACTTGGCGAAAACAATTTACTTGTTATCAATGAATAGGATAGGTAGATTTATTTCATAAACAAAACATTACAAATGTTTGAAACTGTTAACTAGTATGACGGATTTTCTTTAAAAAACATTGCAGCTGTTTTCAATTGTTGACTTTTTCTTATTAAAACTTTGCTTCTCCCAATGTTCACTATTTACATCACCTAAATTTATGAAGTAGAGAGATAAGGTAATACAGATTAAAGACTAAAGAAAGCGTTATGTGTATGTCGAATTACATTCGGTTGTTATAATCTGAATGTCGGATGATATTTACTGTGTATTGTCAGTATGTGATTACTGTAAATTGGTTTGCTATTTCTTGCAGTCTCTCGTCCCGAGTTTCCTGTCGATGGATACGGATGGGCGTGTTATTCGAGTTGACTCATTTTCGAAGACGTTATCCCCAGGGTAAAAACTGTATGACGTAAACATTTGATTTGTAACAATGTCAGGACTTACAATGTAACACTGTAACATTGTTGATGATTTGATATGTGTAACTTGTCAATGTTCTGTTATGTAACAATATAACACTGATAACATAACATAACAATGTTAGAATTGGTCTTCAGTAACCTATGCTTGTCGTAAGAGGCGACTAACGGGATCGGGTGGTTAGGCTCGCTGACTTGGTTGATGCATGTCATCGTATCCCGCTTGCGTCCACCGATGCTCATGATGTCAATCACTGGATTGTCTGTCACAGACGCGATTATTTACAGACCTCCATCATATAGCTGGAATATTGCTGAGTGCGGCGTTAAACAACAAACAGCAACGTAACAATGTAACATTTATGTTTTGATTATGTAACTGAGTCGATTACTTATAACGTAACACTCTAATATTGCTAATAATGAGATATAATTGTAACTTTGTAGATGTATCACGTTACACTGTAACTATTTATGGCGTAGAAATGTCCCACCATGATATCATGAATGGTGATGTAAAATGTAACAATGAGGATGGCGAATGACGTGGAACTGTAACATTGTGAGAAACACATTGAATGTACACACATTTCAAGAGGAGAAGATTTATAACTTAAGCCGTTAATTAAACTTTATCATAATCCTTCTACGCCTTTCTTATTGATGCAGCATTACAGTTTCAATCTCTCATTTTTATGATGTCAATTTCAATTTACTACTTATATTTCCGTATGTTCAGTAAATATCAAATACTTTTTTCTGATATCTCCCATATCTTGTTGAAAGGTGTCGAATTGGTATTGTGTTTGGACCAAAGCAGATTGTGGAGAAAATGACAGTTATCCAACATCCAATGACAGGGGGGCCGAACGCATTATCTCAGGTGAAATGCAGTATGGGATGTTTCACTTTTACACATCGCTCACTTAAACTTTACCGAATCTCCATGTCTGCCCCACCTACATTCATTCGCCTTGTTTCACAGTATATAATCCATCGCTCTTGTTTATCCCACTCACCTTGCGGTTTCACAGTATATAATCCATCTCTCGTTTATCCCACTAACCTTGCAGTTTCACGGTATATAACCCATCTCTCTTGTTTATCCCACTCACCTTGCAGTTTCACGGTATATAACCCATCTCTCTTGTTTATCCCACTCACCTTGCAGTTTCACGGTACATAACCCATCTCTCTCGTTTATCCCACTCACCTTGCAGTTTCACGGTACATAACCCATCTCTCTCGTTTATCCCACCTATCTTGCAGTTTCACAGTATATAATCAATATCTCTTGTTTATCCCACTCACCTTGCAGTTTCACGGTATATAACCCATCTCTCTCGTTTATCCCACTAACCTTGCAGTTTCACGGTATATAACCCATCTCTCTTGTTTATCCCACTCACCTTGCAGTTTCACAGTATATAACCCATCTCTCTTGTTTATCCCACTCACCTTGCAGTTTCACAGTATATAATCCATCTCTCTCGTTTATCCCACTAACCTTGCAGTTTCACGGTATATAACCCATCTCTCTTGTTTATCCCACTCACCTTGCAGTTTCACAGTATATAACCCATCTCTCTTGTTTATCCCACTCACCTTGCAGTTTCACGGTACATAACCCATCTCTCTCGTTTATCCCACTCACCTTGCAGTTTCACGGTACATAACCCATCTCTCTCGTTTATCCCACCTATCTTGCAGTTTCACAGTATATAATCAATATCTCTTGTTTATCCCACTCACCTTGCAGTTTCACGGTATATAACCCATCTCTCTCGTTTATCCCACCTACCTTGCAGTTACACAGTAAATAACCAATATCACTTGTTTATCCCACTCACCTTGCAGTTTCACAGTATATAATCCATCTCTCACGACACAGGAACTCGATCATAGCGTGTATAACATAATATATTCGTGTAGAAAGAAAAATCCTCATTCCTCTATGTACATGCTATAAACGCAATCATCCAGTTCCTGTGTCTCACGTATGCTCTACTCTCGTATTTATGACAACAGGTACATTAACTCCTTGTACATGTTAGTGCTACTATATATCATTCTCTTGTTCTTTTAACCTGCAGGTGATTATCTCTAAGGTTGTGAACACCTGGGGGCACGACAAATTCCTCAAACACATGGAAAAGGTGGCTAGCTTCTACAAGCAGAGAAATGACACACTGATATCATATATGGAGAAATATCTTACAGGTAAAGCCCGAGACGTAGTATTTATAAATCTGACTGTGAGGCATGGGCACAATTAATAGTGCTGACTAATAATTACATTGCGTACTTCAAACGAAGATTCTGTTTACTACATAAATGTCTTGATTGATACTCCAAACAAAGTAGAGATAAGGTATGGATAACAACTTCTTTATTTACTGTAAGGCGTCGTTTCTCTTTGTATCTTATACCGTTGTCAAGCAAGGCTGAATAATTAATAATATGTTGTTGCTTTAAGTGTTAAAGAGCTCGCCTTCTGCCTTAGCAATTTCAGCTGATCTGTCCCTCATTGAGACTCATGTGTATGAGTAGGGTACACATATATAGTGTGAGTTTTGTATTCAAAATGAATAATGATGTTGTTGTTGTTGCATTAAGTGTTTAAGAGGTCGCCTTCTGCCTAAGCAATTTCGGCTGACCTGTCCCTCTTTGGGACTCCTGTGTGTGAGTAGGGTACACTTGGCTATTGTGAGTTTGGTATTCACATAATTTCTGTTTTTGTATTGATATGATTTCTATTTTCTTATATTGATATGATTTCATTTTTATCCTTGGCTGCTCTGTTTATATACGTTCGAGTAGCTGTCCATCTCTCAGAAATAGAGTTAGTTTTGCCTTCGCTTTTGCATCTCTTGGCTTTAGGAGATCTATGACAGATAGCGGATCTAACTGCAATTCTTGTTTTAACCTAGCCCGGCCTGGGGCATGGTCTTGACATTCTAGTAACACATGAATAATGAGCATGGTACAGAATATTTATAGTAGGTGGAAGATTAACAGTAACAACAATTGCATACATCAGAGAGATTAACATGAGTAGGTTAAACAATGACAACAGAAGGATAAAACTGTAACAACATGATGGCCAGAGAACACATGATTAGGTAAATAAAGAAGTTGTTATCCATAAGTTATCTCTACTTTGTCATCCGCCAACTTCTAAGTAGTGCCTATCAAACAAGTCCTACTCCAAACATACTCTACCCTCATTTCAGCTCTGATATTCCTTCCCGTTTTTGTAAAACTTCAACTTTTCAGAATTGTTGACGGAACATCTAAAGTAGCTCACTTTGAAGCCGTTAGCCATTTTTGTGTTTATTGGTTTTGAGCTGGGGAATTAAGGGTCATGAAGAGAACCATTCTAGGATTCGAACCCATGAACTGTGGATGATCTGGCAGCTGAGGGATGTAACTCTGATCAGCTAATAGTGGCATCGATTATGTTTCTAGGTTTGTCAACACCATACCCGTGCTCGTAGGTTTCACCAAAGTCTCAAACGTCTGAGACCTGCATCCCTTCATGCCCCCTCCTACAAGCTGACACGCCGTGATATAACTGTATATTCTGTGTAAAAAGGGCGTTAAATTCAACTCACTCACTAAAACACGCCTGGTTCACCTTGAAACCCCACATTGTACTTAATGCGGGTGTTTTCAAACAATGCAACCTCCAGGCTATCAAAAGGGCCGGGCATGCTTACCCTTTTCGACCTGATGTCATCACTACTTTCAATGTAAGATTTATGGATGAACAACATCCTTATTACAATTAGGAGCTTTTTGTGGTTCATTCATGTTGTTTTCACCGCTGTTTTGCCTTTTACGCGCAATTGAATTTGGTTCGTCGTTTAATCGAGACTGGTTATTGTATGGCGTTGAGGTTTATCAGTGTTTTTGATTTCTGTAAAATCTGTGTAAAACCTGGATGTTAAATAGGATTATCGAATATAGTTTAATAGTCGATACACATCTGAATTTATATCCCATCAATGAATGCAGGTCTATGCGAGTGGACCCCCGCGGGCGGTGGGATGTTTCAGTGGGTGACGTTACTGGGCGTGGACAAGTCCGAGCCGGTCGTTGACAGATTGATGGAGAGGGGTGTATTCGTCATGGACGGCTCCATCTTCTCCGTGGACCTAGCATCACGACCCAACATCAGGCTCTGCTACTCACGGGTGTCGGACACACAATTGGAAAAGGTGAGTAGGAGAATGAGTAAGTGGCCATGGGTGGCTTTGAACAGCCAGATTAGGGCAGGGGGCACAAATACTCGATCTCGCAGACTGTACCCATTTGTGGATTCGAATATGTGATATTTGAGATGATGATAGGATTTGTGTCCTCACGACTGGGTCACTATTCTTCCCAATAAAGGAGTAAGAAAAAAGTAAAGGATTACACAGAGACGTCAACATCCACAGGCATTATGTATTTGGGGGCGGTGGTAGCCTTGTGTTTTAAACGTTCGCTCGTGATGCCAAAGGCCCGGGTGCGATTCCCAACATGGGTACAATTTGTGAAGCCCATTTCTGGTGTCCTACGAGGTGATATGACTGGAACATTGCTAAAGGCGGCTTAAAACCATGCTCACATATAAACTAACCCCATTTAAACCAAACATCGACACCCATTAACAATATGTCACCAATAGGTGAATGTGATATTGAATTGTTGTACGAGACTTGACGAGCTACTCCTCCACGTACACGTCTCGGGAGTTAGAAACTTAGTATTGCTTCAGTCCATTCGTATCCAATTCAATTTGCCATTAAGAGTTTACAGTTCGCCCTTCTACTGTTAAAGTCTTAGGAATCTCGTTCTTCAAATGATCAGAAAAGAGTATTAAACCCGAAAAGGGTAATGTATAATTTATGGCTGTCTGAATAATGCTTTCATTTTCAGGCAATTTCAACATTAGCTGATGTTCTGAAGGAACTGAGAGACCTCAAATGAAAACACGTTTACTCAAAATGGCATCTACACTAACTCCTGACAACGAGATATGAAACGCATTCAAGACTTATGTATTTATACACTTTAATTGATATGGGAGATTATAATGAATATTACCTGTGTCGAGATTATTGGTAGTTGGATATCTATTCGTTTTCAATGTAATTTCGGTTGCCAAATGAATACATCATATTCTTTGACGTATCAAATTCTTTATTTTGACTTGCACCAAAGGTTCTCGTGGGTTTTTTTCAGGTAAACAATTGACTTGCCTGTACATGTGTTTGTGACGGTTGCCACTTTGGGTCAGGATAGGTTCACCTTTTTGCGAACACATGTTATCACCACTATTTGATAGTGTTCATGATATAATCGGAATCGTACAATGCAGAGACGTAAGATTCAACATCGAAACGTCGCTATATATGCAATAAACCAGAAGTTGTATCCATAAAGTTGTACGTTTCCTTACTTACTCACCAACTTCTAGAATTCCAATCAAACAGTTATTATGTCCGTGTCAGACCTACTCCAACACAAGCTGGTATGTACATGTTAGATCTTCTACAGCACAAGCTGGTATGTACATGTTAGATCTACTATAACACAAACTTGAATGTGCATGTTAGATCTACCACTACATAAACTTGAATGTACATGTTAGGTCTTCTATAACACAAGCTGGTATGTACATGCTAGATTTTCTATAGCACAAGCTGGTATGTACATGTTAGATCTACTACAACACAAGCTGGTATGTACATATTAGACCTACTACAGCACAAGCAGGTATGTACATGTTAGATCTACTACAGCACAAGCTGGTATGTACATGTTAGATCTACTATAACACAAACTTGAATGTGCATGTTAGATCTACCACTACATAAACTTGAATGTACATGTTAGGTCTTCTATAACACAAGCTGGTATGTACATGCTAGATTTTCTATAGCACAAGCTGGTATGTACATGTTAGATCTACTACAACACAAGCTGGTATGTACATGTTAGATCTACTACAACACAAGCTGGTATGTACATGTTAGACCTACTACAGCACAAGCAGGTATGTACATGTTAGATCTACTACAACACAAGCTGGTATGTACATGTTAGATCTACTACAACACAATCTGGTATGTATATGTTAGATCTACCGCAACACAAGCTGGTATGTACATGTGAGATCTACTACAACACAAGCTGTTATCTACATGTTAAATCTACTACTACACAAGCAGGTATGTACATGTTAGATCTACTACAACACAAGCTGGTATGTGCATGTTAGATCTACTACAGCACAAGCTGGTATTTATATATTATATCTGCTGCAACACAATCTGGTATGAACATGTTAGATCTACTACAACACAATCTGGTATGTACATGTTAGATCTTCTACAGCACAAGCTGGTATGTACATATTAGATCAACCGCAACACAAGCTGGTATGTACATGTGAGATCTACTACAACAAAAACTTGAATGTACATATTAGATGTTCTATAGCACAAGCTGGCATGTACATGTTAGATCTACCGCAACAAAAGCTGCATGTACATGTTTGATCTAATACAACACAAGCTGGTATGTACATGTTAGATCTACTACAGCACAAGCTGGTATGTACATGTTAGATCTACTACAACACAAGCAGGTATGTACATGTTAGATCTATTACAGCACACGCTGGTATGTACATGTTAGATCTACTACAACACAAGCTGGTATGTACATGTTAGATCTATTACAGCACAAGCTGGTATCTACATGTTAGATCTACTACAGCACAAGCTGGTATGTACATGTTAGATCTACTACAGCACAAGCTGGTATGTACATGTGAGATCTACCGCAACACAAGCAGGCCTAGGTATGTACATGTTTGACCTACTACAGCACAAGCTGGTATGTACATGTTAGGTCTTCTACAACACAAGCTGGTATGTACATGCTAGATTTTCTATAGCACAAGCTGGTATGTACATGTTAGACCTACTACAGCACAAGCTGGTATGTACATGTTAGATCTACTACAGCACAAGCTGGTATGTACATGTTAGATCTACTACAGCACAAGCTGGTATGTACATGTTAGATCTACTACAGCACAAGCTGGAATGTACATGCTAGATTTTCTATAGCACAAGCTGGTATGTACATGTTAGATCTACTACAGCACAAGCTGGTATGTACATGTTAGATCTACTACAACACAAGCTGGTATGTACATGTTAGATCTACTACAACACAAGCAGGTATGTACATGTTAGATCTATTACAGCACAAGCTGGAATGTACATGTTAGACCTACTACAGCACAAGCAGGTATGTATATGTTAGATCTACTACAACATAAGCTGGTATGTACATGTTAGATCTACTACAACACAATCTGGTATGTATATGTTAGATCCACCGCAACACAAGCTGGTATGTACATGTGAGATCTACTACAGCACAAGCTGGCATGTACATGTTAGATCTACTACAGCACAAGCTGGTATGTACATGTGAGATCTACCGCAACACAAGCAGGTATATGTACATGTTTGACCTACTACAGCACAAGCTGGTATGTACATGTTAGGTCTTCTACAACACAAGCTGGTATGTACATGCTAGATTTTCTATAGCACAAGCAGGTATGTACATGTTAGACCTTCTACAGCACAAGCTGGTATGTACATGTTAGATCTACTACAGCACAAGCTGGTATGTACATGTTAGATCTACTACAGCACAAGCTGGTATGTACATGTTAGATCTACTACAGCACAAGCTGGTATGTACATGCTAGATTTTCTATAGCACAAGCTGGTATGTACATGTTAGATCTACTACAGCACAAGCTGGTATGTACATGTTAGATCTACTACAACACAAGCTGGTATGTACATGTTAGACCTACTACAGCACAAGCTGGTATGTACATGTGAGATCTACCGCAACACAAGCAGGTATGTACATGTTAGATCTACTACAGCACAAGCTGGTATGTACATGCTAGATTTTCTATAGCACAAGCTGGTATGTACATGTTAGATCTACTACAGCACAAGCTTGTATGTACATGTTAGATCTACTACAACACAAGCTGGTATGTACATGTTAGATCTACTACAACACAAGCAGGTATGTACATGTTAGATCTATTACAGCACAAGCTGGAATGTACATGTTAGACCTACTACAGCACAAGCAGGTATGTATATGTTAGATCTACTACAACATAAGCTGGTATGTACATGTTAGATCTACTACAACACAATCTGGTATGTATATGTTAGATCCACCGCAACACAAGCTGGTATGTACATGTGAGATCTACTACAGCACAAGCTGGCATGTACATGTTAGATCTATTACAGCACAAGATGGTATGTACATGTTAGACCTACTACAGCACAAGCTGGTATCTACATGTTAGATCTACTACAGCACAAGCTGGTATGTACATGTTAGATCTACTACAACACAATCTGGTATGTATATGTTAGATCTACCGCAACAAAAGCTGGTATGTGCATGTGAGATCTACTACAACACAAGCTGTTATCTACATGTTAGATCTACTACAACACAAGCTGGTATGTGCATGTTAGATCTACCGCAACACAAGCAGGTATGTACATGTTAGATCTACCGCAACACAATCTGGTATGTATATGTTAGATCTACCGCAACACAAGCTGGTATGTACATGTTAGATCTACTGCAACACAAGCTGGTATGTGCATGTTAGATCAACTACAGCACAAGCTGGTATGTATATATTATATCTGCTGCAACACAATCTGGTATGAACATGTTAGATCTACTACAACACAATCTGGTATGTACATGTTAGATCTTCTACAGCACAAGCTGGTATGTACATATTAGATCAACCGCAACACAAGCTGGTATGTACATGTGAGATCTACTACAACACAAACTTGAATGTACATGTTAGATGTTCTACAGCACAAGCTGGCATGTACATGTTAGATCTACCGCAACAAAAGCTGGTATGTACATGTTTGATCTAATACAACACAAGCTGGTATGTACATGTTAGATCTTCTACAGCACAATCTGGTATGAACATGTTTGATCAAATAAACACAAGCAGGTATGTACATGTTAGATCTTCTACCATACAAGCTGGTATGTATATGTTGGATCTACTACACACCAGCTGGTATGTACATGTATATGTTAGATCTGCCACAACACAAGCTGGTATGTACATGTTAGATCTACTAATACACAACAGAGGACAGTGAGGTGGTCTGTGTGTTGGTTTGGTGGCGAGAGGACAGTGGGGTGGTCTGTGTGTTGGTTTGGTGGCGAGAGGACAGTGGGGTGGTCTGTGTGATGGTTTGGTGGCGAGGGGACAGTGGGGTGGTGTGTCTGTTGGGTTGGGATGGTGGCGAGAGGACAGTGGGTAGTCCGTGTGTTGGTTTGGGATGGTGGCGAGAGGACAGTGGGGTGGTGTGTGTGTTGGGTTGGGATGGTGGCGAGAGGACAGTTGGTAGTCTGTATGTTTGGTTGAGATGGTGGTGTGTGGACAGTGGGATGAACTGTATGTTGGGTTGGGTTGTGTGTGGACAGTGGGTGGTCTGTGTGTTGGTTTGGGATGGTGGTACGTGGAGAGTGGGTTGGACTGTGTGTTGGGTTGGGATTGTGGTACGTTGAGAGTGGGGTGGACTGTATGTTTGGTTGGGATGGTGGTGTGTGGACAGTGGGATGGTCTGTTTGTTGGGTTGCCGGCGAGAGGACAGTGGGGTGGTGTGTGTATTGGGTCGGGATGGTGGTGTGCAGACAATGGGGTGGTCTGTGTGTTTGGTTGGGATGGTGGCGAGAGGGCAGTCTGTTTGTTGGGTTGGGATGGTGGTGTGTGGACAGTGGGGTGGTCTGTGTGTTGGGTTGGGATGGTGGTGAGTGGACAGTGGGGTGGTCTGTGTGTTTGGTTGGGATGGTGGTGTGTGGACAGTGGGGTGGTCTGTATGTTGGGTTGGGGTGGTGGTGTGTGGACAGTGGGTGGACTGTGCGTTGGGTTTGGATGGTGGTGTATCGACAGTGGGTGGACTGTGTGTAAGGTTGGGATAGTGGTGTGTGGACAGCGAGGTGGTCTGTGTGTTGGGTTGAGATTGCGGTGTGTGGACAGTGGGGTGGTCTGTGTGTTGGTTTGGGGACGATGGTGAGTGGTCAGTGAGGTGGTCTGTGTGTTGGGTTGGGATGGTGGTGAGTGGACAGTGGGGTGGTCTATGTGTTGGTTTGGGATGGTGGTGAGTGGACAGTGGGTGGACTGTGTGTTGGGTTGGGATGGTGGTGAGTGGACAGTGGGTGGACTGTGTGTTGGGTTGGGATTGTGGTGAGTGGACAGTGGATGGACTGTGTGTTGGGTTGGGATGGTGGTGAGTGGACAGTGGGTGGACTGTGTGTTGGGTTGGGATGGTGGTGAGTGGACAGTGGACGGACTGTGTGTTGGGTTGAAATTGCGGTGTGTGGACAGTCGGCTGGTCTGTGTGTTGGGTTGGGATGGTGGTGAGTGGACAGGTGGGTGGTGGCGGACATGGGTTAGGTGTGATGATCGGGCAATGACTGTGGCTGTGGACTATTAGTTGGAGGTTGTAGGTTGTTGGCGATGTCCTAAATGAGGGTGTGCACCCATATGATTTGGATGGATTGTGTGCGGTGATAAGGGTGAGTTGTATATGCAGGATTTGACGTGGTTTTGGTGAATGGATGATGGCACACTACTCTTACCAAATTCTCAAGTAGTATAAACAGTCTAATAAACACTCGCAGTACACTATGTCCATTGTTAGGTGAGCGCCTTTAGCTCAAACAAGCCTTTTCAGGCACAACATATAACTGATAATGTGTTAATGAGAGTGATGTCATATAACTTATTAAAAACGGAACAAAGTACAAAAAGGATTTTCAAACTAAAATGTATGTATTTCAAAACTGAAATATACAACATATATAAATAGAAATGAATGTACATATATATAGTTTCACGTCGTGCATCTATTTTACTAATAATATGCTTTCCACCTTGCGGATCATGTAAATTTCATGACAGCCCGTTCGCAGCATTCCAAACATTGAAGTGTATTTTGGGTACATATTTTTATGCGTTTTGAAAATTCTAAAACCAAATTCATATAAATTCCGAAAGATTGATAGCCCAAAAATATATTTCTCTTTATTGGGCTCTGGCTGAAAACCCCTCTTTATATGCATTTCAAAACACAGCTGTTTCACGTGTCGCAGCGATCCCGATTTGAGCATTTCCGGTAAGGCCCATAACTCTGAAGTTTCAATGTCTATTTTGAGCACGTCAATCGTTTCCTGAAAAAGACAAAAACAACTGACTTCAAACTTATTCTTGTTTGTATATACATAATTATAAATCCCAAAGTCGTGATTGCATTATTGTATGACTTTATCTATGTTGTGTATTTGGGACACTTAATAGCAGATACAGCAGTGTGTATAAAAAAACAAACATAAATAAACCAAAGTGTTTTTTGAATGATTTGAGTCAGTCTTGAAAGACTGCTAACGGCCAAGACTTGTCCCCCTTGAGGGTCAGTTGCACAGCAAAAAAAGGTGCAGTTTTCCGTTTTCTGGAAACCATCAGGATACCTTCAGCAACCTTCAATTTTCTTGGGAATTTTCAAATAATTTATTATGTGTCTCACCTCGATTGAACAAAATTGTTTTTGAAGGTTTGCGGAAGGTATCCGGGCCGGATTCAAAGTGGAAGGGTTTCCTGAAAACGGAAACCTACGCTCTTCTGGTTGTGTTGTTGACTGCAGTGAATGATTTGTTTATTCGGCTACACATACAATCCTGTCATATCGCTTCTACACCTACGCTGGAATGATTGTTTTCCTTCAAGATAGATGAAAATGTGCGCATGCGCCATCCATCTTCATTAATGGTGTCAGTTGAATTTAGACCAGTTTTGTGGAAGTAGATTTGTTGTCCTCTCGAGTGATCGCCGACATTCTTCATGCTGGAAAGAAACAATCAGATGACCATGGTGTCATGGTTAAGGAGGCGCCACGAGCGGTGAGCAGTGTTGTACCCCGGAGCTGCCATGACCCACTGATCATGGGTTCGAATCTAAGATCCTAGGTTTATTTGTAAGCACGATAGGTATTGTCCACAATAATGGTAAAATTTTATTACCCATGTGATAATTTATTGCTTTCTTCAAATTCGTTTGGATAATACAATCCTCTAAAAGCTTATTTTTCCATAATACCCTTTCCACGCTCCTGTTTAACCTGGTATGCACTTTATTCTACCACATGGCATCGCTGCGATTTGTAAGGGCCAGAACAATTTAGTGTTGTAAAGGTATTCTCAAGCACATGCCATGCTTATTTTCCGCAGCGGTTATAAACCACATGAGTCACTTTTTGCAATCACACTTATCCGACGTTACCTTGGGTCATAGGAATGCACCTCACAGCCATACTTGTTTGCCACGTCATCATCAAAACTGAAGTCAAAGCTTATCCTGTTGAACAAACAATTCACATTTACTCCGATACAATTAAATGGAGACTAGCTGTGTTCACAATTATCCATTGATGTAAAGTCCGATTAAAAAACATTTCTCCGAACAATTCAAGTATCTCATTACATTAAATCTATATGTTTTGACAATAACACCGATCATCATAATATGTTTTAGAAAATTAAAGGGGGACTGTGCTCCATGGTAACGTGTCCATAATGTATGCTTAGTTCTATACATTGCATTGCAATTAGACCCGTAAAGATCGGGGATGGAATAGCTCTCCAGCAACCCATGCTTGTCACAAAAAGCGACTTGCTTGTGGTAAAAGGCGACTAACGGGATCCGGTGGTCTGGCTCGCTGACTTGGTTGATGCATGTCATCGTATCACAATTGCGTGGATTGATTCTCATGATGTCAATCACTGGATTGTTTGGTCCAGACTCGATTATTTACAGACCTCTGTCACATAGCTGGAATATTGCTGAGTGCGGCGTTAAACAACAAACAAAGAAACATTGCAATTAACTCCCTGTGTGAAACTGAGACCGTTGGTAATTAGACTTAGAACTGGTAGATTGATAATGGAAAATAAAATTGAATTAAACTGCCAGGCAAATAAAAGTATACACCCATGTTTTTGGCGGCTAAAAATGAAACAAACAAGAAACGGTTATTATTCATACACCTTTCGTAGTTGTATTTTGTACCTTCCGTTTGCAGTTTAATAAACATTAACAGGTTGGTCACGACAAATTGAGGGGCCTCAGGCGACTGGGCTACGGGTACCCAGCTACAAATAACAAAGAAATATTTATTAGCTCTATCATGTGGCCATAGACTATCAATAACAGAAGAAAAAATTGTTTACATCATGATATCAATAAGGCTAGCGATTAATTTTTTTGAATCATGATATCAATACAGCCAGATTGTGTAGGTCTTCACAAGAGGGTGACTGGTCAATCAGAAATGTAGATTCTTAAACAAGAAATGATAACAGGTACCAAAGGGTTTATCCGGTTCTCCTACCCAAATGAGTAGACCAGGCAGGGAGCATGAAAGCTGTAGGGTGGGTCCACACAAACGTCCCAGCCCCCATCTCCTGAGTTGCCCATACGGATCGTCCTCTTGCACGGCACCTGTATCGTGGCCACATAGCTGAAAGCACCGTAATACAAAACAGTATTAAAACCTTCACCTGATTGGACAGAACGTAAGCCCATGTAACAACTGCAACATATACATATACATATATCTTATATTAATCCAGAACACTTCCATTTTTCAGGGTTCGAATCCCGGTTTGCTTTGATTATGTTTCTAGGTTTGTCATATCCGTGCTCGTGTGTTCATCAAACTGGTAAACCTCTGAGACCTGCATCACTTCGGGCTTTGCCCCCCATCAAGCTGACACGCCCTGATATAACTGAAATTCTGTTCAAAGTTGGATTAATGCCAACTCACTCACTCACTCTGATAGAGAATCAGTATGTTTCAAGATGTATGTTTCAACTATCCTTGAAGCACGCTTTGACCTCTGGTGGTAGAAACAGTCATCACGACACCTAATTTTGAGTTTCAAATTAATTTTGAAGGTTATAACGAAAACAAAGTTTCACACTGGTCTCCCAAATGTGTAATTGTTTTGGTTTCAATTATTTTGAACACTAGACGTGTTTTGACGCTATATGTCACAGAAACATGACAACACTGGCACATTAATTATAATTATGTAAACAGGTGCGCACCAAATGAAACCTAGTGCCTCCCTACGTGTATGTTGTATACGCACTCGTGATATATCTGGCTGACATCCTTTCTGCTCATCCTCGTAAGTGCATCTTCTGGGGGGAGTACCTGCTGAATTGCCTCCGATTGGGGTGGCCAAGACTGTAATACTTCTAACTGTAAATACAACAAACAGTGTTGTTAATAGGTGAATTAGGTGCCTGGCTGATGCCTGGCAGGTCTGTAGGCTCTGAGACCATGGTAGTTCCAGTTCACATATCCATAGATATTAGTAAAGGGGTGCCTTCATGTAAAGGTAGAATCAAACTACTGGCATTATGCTATTATTGATGCATCCCTAGGACTAGCCAGTTTGTTGGAGAGAACAAACGAAGGAAGGAATCTAATGATTGGAACGTTTTTCAATAAGGCCGTAAGTAACAGGTTATGAGAGCTGTAGCTGTAGTCAACGAAATTACCAAGGAGGTATGTATGCTCGAGAGAGAGATCGAGATCCTGTCGTACCAGAACTATTCACGGGATCATAACATTGGTATTACACAGGAGCGAGTTTACTATTTTATTTATTACTTGCCGTTTCTGACTTTTTAAAATTCACTGTTGTGTGTGAATTGGCAAATATATTTAGGATCCAAAGCAAAATCCAATTGAGTCTAACGGAATAATACCGTTTCTGACTTTTTAAAATTCACTGTCCTGTGTGAATAGGCAAATATATTTAGGATCCAAAGCAAAATCCAATTGAGTCTAACGGAATAATACCGTTTCTGACTTTTTAAAATCCACTGTCGTGTGTGAATAGGCAAATATATATAGGAACCAAAGCAAAATCCAATTGAGTCTAACGGAATAATACTTCAAATACGCCAAAGGTTGACACGCACCCATTAATTTAACAAAGCTGTATGTTTAACCATTCAACAGTAATAACTTCAAAAACCAAGCAAAACAGTTTCCCATATTCTTGGATGTGATAGGCTTAACAACACGTCTGTTGAAACGGTTCAAACATCTGTGGTTCATTGATTCAAAGTATCACTGCTTACATACTCGATCCATAACTCTAGTCTTGGGAATATCCTGGACATCAGAGGTCAGCCACGATGACGTTGCTATCAGCAACAACGTCACTAAAGCTCCACCCAGAAACGTTAGAACCGTGTGACATCTATTTCTCAACATCTGCAAACAAGCAAATGATTCGTTATAAGTTCAGTAATGAACATTCCAATTGATCAGCATCATTCCATGATATGTTGGAAAGAGGGCACGGGTGGCCCAGTCGTCTAAGGCGCCGCGATTCGCCGTGCAGAGTTGCGTCTCTTGGGCACGCCAGAAACCTATGATTGTGACTGTGAGGTCGAATCCCGGTTCGCCCCGATTATTTTTCTAGGTTTGTCAGCACCATACCCGTGCTCATGGGTTTCACTGAAGTGGTAAATGTCCGAGACCTGCATCACTTCGGGCTTTCCTCCCACAATATAAACCCCAGTCACTCACTCACTAATGTAAGAAATGAACGCTGCACTGTGACTTTCATAAAAAATATAATTCGAGATGTATTTGCGTTATGTGGTTTAACAATGAATTTAACTACATAATTTACTTGTCAGCAAATAAAAATATATACCCCCTACACGAAAATTCTCTACTTACGTATAAGGGGTATATATATATATATATATTAAATATTGTAGCGTTAACCCTCTGGCTGCCACCTAAAAATAGCCTGTGTACTATCGCTGTGCCGAGTTTATTTGCGAGTGACGTTCTGGAAACTGCACACCTTCGTCTAAAAACGACGTAACGTAACAACGATAAAACCCACAATTTTCAAATTTCACACTATAACAGTACAACTATTTCCCTAACTGTCTATGTAAATATTGTAAAGCATTAACGTGATTACCAGTAGTTTATAGCTCGGCAAACGTATTGAATATGCGATTTTCTTAAAAATGTCCATGACGGCTGTTTTGTTGACATTGCGCACTGGATACTTTGTGCGTCTTGTCAGGTTGTAAATCTCCACCAATGTAAAAACCAAAAACATTATGCGAAAGCCCGTTTGTTTCCCGATAACCGTGTTGAAAATGAAACATCTCCGTGGAAAATCGTCCGCGAAATTGTAGGCTGGAATTACTGGGCTCGATCGTAGCGCCACCAGTCGCTATTACCAGTTATGTTCCTGCTAAGCCTCTCCTATAGACCAATCAGATTTCACCTCTCGTATCTCAAAATGGTGGCGCCCAGTCAGAACGATCTGATCAATGATCAAGATCTATATTGTGATAAAACGGGTCTTACATCGCGAAATGCATCAAATCAAGTGAGCACCTTGAAATGTAGGATTAATTCTATGGAATTATCATCTTCCCGAGGCAAGGGTGTTAATTATACGCTACTCAAAAGAAATTGACGAACAACTTTGTTTCATTTTTTTAAAACTTCTTTTCAGTGTTATACACGAGTGACCAATAAATTCAGATATGGGAGGAGGCAGAAGTCTTACATTCTGCGCCAGGATGACGCCCGCGTGTACAAGTCAGGTTTCACGAAGAAATGGCTCCAGGTTCTACTACACCAAATCAGAACCAGTTTGCACAGTGCGGTTTTCGTAGGGAGCCTTCAGTGCAAATCGAGAGATATCTGCAGGCTGTGATTGGAGGATATTCTGTAAGATTTTTTATGTCTTTCAAATGTACATCCATCCAGTTATTAAAACTGACCATGTTTTTCTATATTTAGTACTGTCTTTTTCAACATGATGACTTATACTGAATGTGACCATAGCTATTTTCAAGTAGGTGACATTTGGTGCGAAACTAGGGGTGGTGTGTTTAGCTTCCTGTACTCGGAAAAGGAGCTGGCTAAGCTAGTCATTTTTTATTTTTGTATTGCTGCTCTAAGGCCAAACTGTGCACACACGTACAGGTAATAGCTGTTGAATGCTTAGTTATTTAAAAAAAATATATAACGTTACTATAGAAGTCTATGGGAAAACATTTAGTTGTGTGTAACCTCCTAGACCTTCATTATAAACAATGATGGATTTTACGGGCGTTTCACCCGACTTGAACCCCATTGAGTTTGTTTGTTTTGTTTGTTTGTTGTTTAACGCCGCACTCGGCAATATTCCAGCTATATGACGGCGGTCTGTAAATAATCGAGTCTGGAGCAGACAATCCAGTGATTGAAACTATGAGCATCGATCCACGGAATTGGGATAGGATGACATGCATCAACCAAGTCAGCAGCCTGGCCAACCGATCCCGTTAGTCGCCTCTTACTACCCCCGTTGAGAAAGTATTGCAGATCACGAAGGACAGGTAAGCAAAAGTTCGTACCGACGAATATTTGTAAATGGAAGCGAGTGATCTACCAGAAGCTGATTAACTATCTTATCACGCCGATGTCACTGACTGACTACTGAATGTTAAAATCAAATGACCATTCATCCCAAAACATGTTATTAAAAGTTCAGATGAATGTACCCTATATAATTTCTATTTTTGTCTATAAAAAAATAACAGATAAGAAGTTTCATTTTTGTGTGAACCTTTGAATATGTTTTCTTGGTTTTATAAATAGATATAAAATATCAATATCATCACGATATCCAAGCAGATGTGACACTGTCGATTTATCAAGATCGATAGGTCACAAGTATACAGTTGAAAATTGATACCATCCAAACGTTACCAGGCTGAAAATAGTCGCCGAAACTAGCCCCGAAATACAACTATGGTGCCGGTAACAGATGCATCACCATCGAATAACCATTTCTGTTTTGTGTCATTTCTAGCTACCATCAAACATGGATGTAAACTCTCCTTTACACGGCAACTTATTGTCTTTAACACACGTCATTGATATATGTAAGATGTATTTGTCACAGCACAGAAAATAGTATATCACTGTAAGTAAACGTAGTAAAAACCCAACGATCTTATATGTTATCGAATCTATCTGAACTCGATTTAGATAACTTCTAAACGTCAATGTTTCGACTGTTGTTCGTGGACCGGGCCACACCAGTAGATAGATTCATGAAACTGCACGAGTGTTCTGCAAAGATTTGGAGCTCCCTTTCAAAAATGAAAATCTTCTACTTACATTGTATGTGTTCTTACCTCACAGGGGCATGCAGTGTTAACGGAGTCACATACTGTTAATCTTGAATGTACATTGAGTGAGTGAGTGAGTTGGGTTTAACGCCGCTTTGAACAGTATTCCAGTTATATCACAGCGTGTCAGGTCAGTTAAATGTGGGAGGAAAGCCCGCAGTGATGCAGGTCTCAGACGTTTACCACTTCGGTGAAACCCACGAGCACGGGTATGGTGCTGACAAACCTAGAAACATAATCGGGGCTAACCTTTGTTCGAACCCACAATCCAAGGTTCTGGCGTGCCCAAGGGACGCAACTCTGCACAGCGAGAATGTACTTTTAATTAGTCATGTATATTATTGCTCATACTACATACGTCTTATTTTTACAAAACATGCTGTTTTATATTTTGTCAGCTTATCGATCTGTCATTTCCCCGATACAGTCACCAACTCAAATTTACTGTTACTTTACGCTCGTGTTGATGCAAATCTTCGCTTAAAATGGACGCAATATGCACCGTAAACTAACACCTGAAGCAATGATGTAGAGCATATTCAATCCTATTATGTCTATGTACACAGAAAGTTAAAGTGTTGGACGTCATTCAACATGTTCAATGACTCATAAATCAGGTTAAGTACAACACTAAACAATAGCACAGTTCTTATTTAAAGAACACAAACGTTTCAATTATTAAGATAATGCTTATAACAACAACAACAATAACAACCACAGCAACAACAACGGGTCAGTTTGGTTTAACGCCACCCTGAATAATATTTCAGTTATCAGGGCGTGTCAGCTTGATGTCGGATGAAAGTGATGATGGTCTAGGACCTTCACAAGTCTGAAACTGTTACATAACCAGGGTGAGGTTGGGATAGCGAATTCCGGCGCCATACGACGACCAGCGCCCGCACAACCAGTCACGTGTAACTTACAAAACAACCTATTTGTTATGATTGATATTTTCTTTTCCTCTCATTTCCTCTCAGTTTATGCCGTATTAGTGATACAGTATACTTCGTTATTACCTCTAATTGTGATTATAACGGTACCCTGTTCTCGGCTTAGTCCCATGGAGAGGGTCGGGTATTAAAGAAACCGGCTACGCGGGACGACCCCCCTGTTCTCTCGCTGTTGTCATAGTTACCTCAGGTTTTACCCGCAGACCAGCGATCATGGGAAATTGTATATGCACGTGGTTCTCACCTAACAACAACAACAACAACAACAACAACAACAACAACAACTACAACAACAACATCGAACTACATACAATTTGTCTGCTGTAAAATGTCCGCCTAGGAACTTGACCTCTATCAGTAATCGATATCGGGGACATGTAAGTTACTATAGAAACCAGTAAACCATTGTGATATAGACAGGAGGGTCACAATGTATGATCGATCTGTGTGTGGACGGAAACCTGGGAGAGCGCACGGGAGTATTGATATAACGTGTACACAGTCTTACCACGTCGGACATGTACTCGTAGACCTATGGGTGAGTATAGACGATACTGATTATAACGACTAAAAGATATGATCTGTAATGAGGACGAGAAAAACAAAACATGTAATAAATGTAAACTGCCGGACATTAGAGCGTATTAAATCATGTATGGTAGTGGCTAACAAACAAATACAAGAAATGGTTATTCGATGTGATGTATTAAATACGGGTATCATAGTTATAGGTAGGTCTGTTTTGAACCTCAGGTCATACTTTCTTTTGCCCGGCCGTGTACAAGGCATTATTATTACAAACACTACCTTTCGGTTTTATTTTATGCAACCAGGAATATAATTTGCATAGTAATAAGAAACACAACTAAGGAATAACATACACTTGTCTAGCAGATTGAAGCAAGCATGACAACTTACCTTTATGTCCGCCGGGATTGTGTATGTTATATGAATTTCAATCAAGTGGCTGCAATGTTTGATTATCAATAGATCGATAGTTACCGTCACAGGTGGCGCAGTTTCATGTCCACTGCTTACATCTTGGTGCAAGTGGGTCGTTATAGCCAGTACACATGTCACACTGGTATCTGATATACATATTCGCCGTGTGTTATTACACTCAGTCACGCGAATTCAATACACTCTGTACACTCACTGACAATTCCCAGTCAATAGCTCTGCCGGGTTATGATCATGACACTAGCCTCCATCATGTTATGATCATGACAATAGCCTCCACCAGGTTATGATCATGACAATAGACTCCATCATGTTATGATCATGACACTAGACTCAATCATGTTATGATCATGACAATAGCCTCCACCAGGTTATGATCATGACAATAGCCTCCACCAGGTTATGATCATGACACTAGCCTCCATCATGTTATAATCATGACAATAGCCTCCACCAGGTTATGATCATGACACTAGCCTCCATCATGTTATGATCATGACAATAGCCTCCACCAGGTTATGATCATGACACTTGCCTCCATCATGTTATGATCATGACACTAGACTCCATCATGTTATGATCATGACACTTGCCTCCATCAGGTTATGATCATGACAATAGCCTCCACCAGGTTATGATCATGACAATAGACTCAATCATGTTATGAACATGACAATAGCCTCCACCAGGTTATGATCATGACACTAGACTCCATCATGTTATGATCATGACAATAGCCTCTACCAGGTTATGACCAATAGCCTCCGCCAGGTTATGATCATGACACTAGCCTCCACCAGTTTATGACCAATAGCCTCCACCAGCTTAGGATAAGGACAATATCCTTCACCAGGTTATGATCATAATAGCCTCCATCAGGTTATGACAATGACAATAGCCTCCACCAGGTTACTATTAGGACAATATGCTCTACCAAGTAATGACCATGACAATAGCCTCCACTAGGTTATGATAATGACAGTATCCTATACCAAGTTATGACCATGACATCAGCCTCTATCATTATGATTATGGTTAATTACACTTCAAACAATGCGCTTCTGAACGCTTCTGAACGTCACAGACGACGTTAATCCAGCTTTATGACGGAACCTTGTCGATCAGGAAAAACAGTGACTGAAAACATGAGCACTGATCCACTAACAGGGGTCACAGAGCTGTCATATCCACTTGAGCCGGTTCTTTCGAGAAACATACTAGGTTACTGACTCTACACCAGGTTAATAAATAAAAATACAAGCCACAAAACCCTTACCATATTCACCAGAAGTATCTGCTAAAGCAGAATAGAATGTACGTTTGAACCACATCATAATCAGGTGTATGTGCATCAATATGATCAAGTGATGATGCCAGGTGTTCGCGAAGGGATGGGAGTATCCAGCTCCACAGGTGGCACTCTTCACAAACACATACAAAGGCAAATCAATTGTTCACACCTGTAAAATAACAAGAAGAAAATAATAAGCGAACAACGCTTTAGAAATCTTCCCATAAATAGCATGCCCGATTGTACCCCAAAAGTTGTGAAATGCCCTAAATTTGTAACGAGTTCCACCGATGGGCAGGATACGCTTATCATTCTCTTCGCAATGACCTGTGTCATCACTTTGTGATAGTGATTCCGATTAATTTTGATTGTGGAAGGGTTTTATCGCTTTATTCCGATGTCCACCGCGTGGTTTAGAATTACAATACTGAGCTTTGTTGCCATCACTGATGAAACACTACATCACGGAACATGCATTTCAGGATAAGAGTGAGTTAGTGTGGTTTGACGTTGTTTTTAGCAATATTCCAGCAATATCACAGCGGGGGAAACCAGAAAAGGGCTTCACACATTTTTGGAAAAGAGAAATTTAGATTGAATACCCAAAGAAGTGAATGCTTGTTGTATCGTCCCTTAAAGAAGTACAAAAGTCAACTATACAGAGCCTGCTTGGATATCGTGAGTGGACGGTTGGAAACGAGGTGATGTGAAATGGGGTTTAACGTCGCCTCCAAGATTATTCCACTCATTTGCGACGTGCATGCACGTGTGGGTATGTGTTTGCTTGTAATAGTCCGGACTGATGCCGATTTTTGTGCTAGCACACTGAGATACCATACCCCACTCAGATTCAATATACTGACTCCGAGCCGACCGGTCCTTGTTTTAGTCCCTTAATGCCGAGCGCCAGACAGGCTAACACCAAGAATCTTTTAACTTCTTTTGGTATGGCGCGCCCGGGGATGAAAGCCCCAGACCTTCCGCTCTCCAGGCGGACGCGCTACCCCTAGAGCACGAAGGCGGTCAGTTGCAAACGAAGGCAATGTCAATGACAGAATAAAAACACATAACTGTGATGTTAGTCTGTCTCCCAGACCCTACAGAAAACAACAACTAAAAAACGAATCCAACTCAAGAGTAGAATGATTAGACAAGTCCAGATTGCTTAGCCCTTACGGCTCAGACTTCCATGAGAAATCAAGCTCAGCATCGTTTGCAACAACCAAATCCATGGGTCAAAGTATGAACTTAAGCTTTGTTTTGGGCTCCATTTTGATTTGATTTGATTTGATTTGATTTGATTTGATTTGATTTGATTTGATTTGATTTGATTTGATTTGATTTGATTTGATTTGATTTGATTTGATTTGATTTGATTTGATTTGATTTGATTTGATTTGATTTGATTTTTTTTTTAATTTTAATTTTTTTATTTTTTTTAAAATTATTTATTTATTTATTATTTTTTTAATTTTTTTTTTGGGGGGGGGGCTTCTCTTGGCATCCGATATACCACTTAACTTGTCTTAGCATGGATGACCATGCGTGCTCATAAGCTTAGGGTTCAATATTTTACAGGAAACAAACCCAAAAAGTTATTTTCCACGCTGAAATATTGGCATCCGTGTGCCAGATAACATTTCATGGCATCCAGCGTAATGCACTGTGGCATCCGGGATACCACGGGGCGTCCGGCGAACCAAAAGGTGCTTATCACCCTCATTTCTGGGACTACATACCAGTCTAACAAGTACACGGTGTGTGAATCTCGAGATGTTATGTGCCAAATTCAGCCACATTAGTTTGCTGTGACTAATATCCGTGTGTTTCTTGCAGAGTTACCTATTCTTCAATCTCATTAATATCAGATCTCGGTGCGCGCCTACTCTGCACAAACCTCTGAGGTCATCCCATTAAAGATCACATTAGAACGACCTTTCGCGAACGTGACCGACCAATGAAATGACTAACACAAAGAAGCAGCATTCGCCAATCAGAAAGCAACTTTCTCTAGCTTTTAGGCACCAGTTTCAAACTGCCGACTTCCATTCCAGACTACGCTTTGGACATATTGTGAACGGTGAAAGGTCGTTCTTACATTACCCGTAATGGCATATCTTCAGATCTTTGTTAAGCGAGAACCATGATTATTATTTTAAGGAGACTGTTCTTGGTATCGTGTTTATTAATAAACACTCACAAACTGTCACATTATACGCTTCCATAATAATGTTGTTGACACTTTATCCTCTATGTATGTGTACATAAAATCAGTTAGAAAGTGTCATGCGCGACAGGTGTTGCATTAGCTTGGGTCTCGACCACGATATAACGATATGTGCACATAGTCCAATGAATATACATGTAGATCGATTTTATGTATGTATAAGAGCTAAACATGTTAGGATGCAGAAATTAGTGTTGTCCACTTTCGTTTCGTGTGATGTGTTACATTTACTTTGGATAAATACAGTCCGACTCTCTATATCTCAAAGGAGTCGTGATTTCATATGAAGGAAAACGTTCCAGTATGACCTCCCACGTGGAGAGGTCACGGTAATGCAACCAAAACAAATTAACCGAGGTACGTGGGACGTACGGAAGGTATATATCACCAGCTGTTTCAACGTTCGCCTCGTGGCTAATATACAATAGTATCATGGTTTCGTGAAGGAAGTACCGCTGTTATCTATCGGATATCGTTATTTGTCATCTTTGGGTTATGTAATGAGTTGTAGGAAGCTGTCACTGGTATAATATTTGGACGCATGGACGTTATAACTTGTAATCATTATTAATAGTATAGTGTGACTGCATATGTCCTATTGTAGCCGTAAATCCCCTACAACCGGTACGGTAGAGAATAGGCCTTTCAGCAACTCATGCCTGTCGTAAGAAGCGACTGACGGGATCGGGTAGTCAGGCTCGCTGACTTGGTTGATGTATGTCATCGTATCCCAGTTGCGTAGATATCAATCATTGGATTGTCTGGTCCAGCCTCGATTATTTACACTCAGACCGCCATCATATTGCTGGAGTATTGCTGAGTGCGGCGTAACAACAAACTAACAACGTTATACAGCATCACAGTGATACATGTGTATCTTTCGTCATGTTCTCGAGGAAAGGGAGTTAACTGACTATAAAAGTCGAGTTTCCACCCTTGCCGAACTAGGCTGGAATGATTGAGTTTTATTTTGGCTGGACTAACGAGTCTTTGCATAGTAACATAGGTGTACAACGTGTGTCTTAACATGCCTAGTTAATGTGGTCCACATTGCACATGAACCTCAACAAACCCGCAATACCTATTGCAAATCGGCATGTCCACGTTTACATAAGACTATACATCAAACATATTTTGTAGGGTTACTTTTAATAAAAAGCAGATGCATCCAATCACGGTTATTTATTTGTGTTATTTAAATGTGTAAGTAAATAACTCTTCCATTAACATGTCTTTCCAAATGGAATATTTGCCAAAGCCGCACATCACATGGAGCATGCTCTTCACTGTGTTGGTTGTTCCTTGAGGATCTCTGCCAGCCAGGAGAAGGACTGAAAACGAGAAAAGAATTCTTTGGCCTCGTGGTTTGTAAAGACTCTTTCCTGGTCATAGCTCGGTGAGCCTGACGCTTTGTTTTTTCGGGTTTACTGTAACAAATATAAGCTTGCCTATCTCGTGAGTTTGGTTTGAGAAACAATTGTTTTAATCTTTGGGCTTTTCCACAACTCACTTTGTCCAAATCTTCCTCAGACGCATAAGAGTAAGATACTCTGATGTAAGGGGACTTAACCGAGGCAGGACAGAAGATGTGTCCCTGGACCACCACAGCCCCTTTCTGGATCAGCTTCTGACAGATGGGCATGGAGTCCTCTACACCCAATAGCTTCATCCACAGGAACATCCCAGCCACAGGATCAGACCACTCCGCCAAACCTGGCAAATGAAGATGAAGATATGATAATGATTATGACGATGTCGATGAAATTAGACAGAATGAAACACATAGTTTTGCTTAATTTTGTCCAGGTATAACTGAACTGTTATTGAAATTTACGGAAGTATTTTTTACTCATTCACTAAGGCGACCATCATTCAGGAAACCACTTGAGCTGAACTATCTTTTGGAATTATAACAGGACAACAGCACTGAATGGAATTGGGTTGTGGCAGCAAGAGTCCTTATCGATTGAATATGTAGCATATCTTCCATAGCTTGACCTTCAGTGGTTCGTCCAAGACCACCAATGTGTGATACCTTTACCTTTAAGATGTTTTTCAGCTGTCCTGGAAACACGCTTCGATTTCTCGTAGTAGACGTTTGCAACATCACGCCCATGTTCGATATAGCCATCGTGCCCCATGCTTTGTAAAACCTTCCATATGATGGTCTGGTAATTAAACCAAAGGAAAGAAATCTTTTATAGATGCCTAAAATATTTGTTTTTCTTTAAGAGCATTGCAATACTTAAGTGATAAACTATGATATTATATTACTTCATGGTTTCATCGGCTTGCACAGTGCAAACAAATTCAAAGAATATTTTGCCATTTGTAGGGACATAAATGTCGATTAATGCCACAACCCCTTAAGACTTGAATATATATCATACATACCTGTGCCAAGCTATTACATGAGCCAGGGTCTGAATCTTTCCAATGAAGGATTGTTTCCAGGATTTGTTTTGGACCGCTAACATACCCAATCCTTGCACTAAAAACACACGAACAGAAGTTTCACATTTTTAACAGATTAACAGCACTAAAGCGAGACACGGTTAGCTCAACGATCTGGAGACCATTTGTAGTGTACATCTAGATACTGTAAAAAGTGCTTTAACAACAGGTGAATAAGTAAATATTATAGTTCCTTCACAGTCATCGGCAATGCAATAGCAATCTCTCTCTCTATATATATATCGGGGCGATTGCATCGAAAGGTCTTTTTATTACAATTATACTTTAGTTGAAGTTTTCTAAAAAAAAGTCGTACACAAACTGTTGACTACCTTTTTACGTTAGTTCCACATTGACATGGCTAAATAATGACAGGTATTATGGAGTTTATATCGCTTCTTGCCGTTTGTTATTCTCTTGAAAATGTTTCGTTATACACTGTAAATTTTCATTTAACTCAATCGAGACTGTTCGTTTCGCAAAGCGCCATTTTTGTTTCTTGACCAGCGTGTATTCTTTCACTTACAAGAATAGTCTCGTAGATTTCAAGAATATTTGTGGCGTTGATTTTATGTATAATCATATCCAAATGTATGATAAAGAATTTCGTTGACAAATGTGTTTTGTTACCTTTGTTTATATGTTTTTCAAATATAATTATGTCGCACTTACATGGGGTGGTGAAACGTCCCTGCGTGTTAGGTAGGGAGAATTTACGTTTCAAAGCTTCACGGTTGACAACTACACACAACGTATCTAATGATTATGATATTCCATGTGAAAATATCTCCTTTCCCTTGTCACTCGATGAGAGAAACATGATATTTCACTCGACACATCAAATATCCTCTATGCTCTTAACGTGGACGTATAATTGACTTAATCACAAATGATATACACATGTAGAAATACAGTATGAAAGAGAGAACAGGCTTCACGACCGGGTACCTGGTATTGCCTCAAGTGAAGTGAGGCTTTGTTTCTCGGTACCAAAGGTATTCAGGTAATGGCTACTGCGACCGCAATAGGGTACTGGAGACCTAGGATGCTTTGCAAAGCGCCGGTCGCTTGCAAGCGATGTAGAGCGATCCGGCTTACAACAGTGCGCTAACTTTCAACCGCTTGCAAGCGAAACAATCACTGGCTGAGGTCGCTTCGTTCTCAAACCAACATGGCGGCTGACTTTGACAACGGAACAAGAAATTCTTGACTGGATCAACGAGGAAATGAACAAAGGCAGCTAACACCCCGTTATCCTCAGTCTGTTCCACATCTTCAAAGTAGTCATAACTTTCATCAGCTCGTCATCGAGCATCTACTTTTACGTTCTTCATTACATGAAGGAAACCAGGCAGTAAACACGCCGCCATTTTGGAAGAGTCCGCAAGCGCTTGGAACTGTTGCAGACCCCGGGAGGCGATTCGTGACTTGCAACGCGCCCCTATTGTACAGCGATATCTCCAAGGGAAAAATACATCATCAAAAACTGGCTCCCACAGGAGATATCGCTTGGATGAGATCAAGCGATATCTACACTGTAGATATCGCTGCAATGAAATTACATCACAATGCTTTGCAGACCATTGTGACGTCACTGTTACAATGACGTCACAATAAAATGACATCACTAATGGCTCTGCTACTAAGCTGTTTGCAGTACATTCTACACTGAAGACACTGCTAATTACTGTCTACAAATTGAAAAAGTTGAAAGAATGATGTTGGATGATAAATAAAATCTCACCTGAGTGTCTTTTGATATCAAATATATCAACACTCGTTGATAAAAGTGGCAAAAATCCTCGGCAAGCCTCGGAATTTTTCCACTTTTATCAACTTGTGTTGATTGATATCAAATATATCAACACTCGTTGATAAAAGTGGCAAAAATCATCGGCAAGCCTCGGAATTTTTCCACTTTTATCAACTTGTGTTGATATATTTGATATCAAAAGACACTCAGGTGAGATTCTCTATATAGTACACACTTTCCCAAATCAGCTCACCCAGCAGACATCAGTTTAGAGAGAGAATCACATCTGAGGACACGCCCATCTACGTCTAATGACAGCAAACTCGGTGTGAGAGGCTGAAGTAAGACTGATGGTAGTATGGTATTCATTCGATAACTCTTTAATAAAAAACATGCATCATAATTAGGATATACACATACTGTGTTTCCAATGTAGAACCGGGTTAACTGTAGATTTAACCGCGCTAAATTGAATTTGGAACCGAACGCGAACTCTTTTGCTTTTGGCAAACATATTGAGTGAAGCAGCATGGGCTAAGTCCACTGTTTTGTGTGGGTTGTCGGTCAGAATTTACAGCATCACCGACAACAGCCTTTAAGCAAAATATTTCGCTCTATATGCTCAAGCAGTTTAACACCCTAATACTTCACATCAACTTATGGCATGCACTGAAAGCATGTAGCATGGCAACTTCGTTAGCTGACATGACTTGAGCACCCTGAAGAAAACTAAACAAGCCTTGCAAAGCTTTCGTTCTACACCGCATGTCACTTTTATTACGTCATATTGATAATTGTGATGCAAAAGTTATGACGTCACAATCGTACATGGAAAAGCGCGAAATAACAACCTCTCTGTTGTCCTCAAAGCTTGAAATACATTCTCATTGTAGATTTCTATCCTGTATTTTTTGCACGAAATGTTCTGCCACACATCCTTTGAATGTTGTAGTTACAGCAACTTTGCATTTTGTAGCCTATAATTGTTACAGACAATTATTTAAATATGCCTACCGACAATGACTGTTTCACTCAGAGAGATTTATTGTGATTTGATATCTTTGATTTCCCAATCAAAATCAAGCTTTTTCCAAATTCAGGGTAGAATTCAATTTGGAAATAATGCTTTTGTGCATGTCTACGCGTCTTTGTTTTCTTCTTTGTTTCATAAAAGGCCGTCTTATGTTCACACAAAGACACGAGTTATCACCGTCCGGTCTGGGAGCCCTTGTCGCAATACAAAACCACTCACATACATCTTCTTGATTACGGTCATCCCAAGAATTAACACTGATTGATAATTATAATTCCAGATGTACATACCATCCCCCCTTACATTTCACAAACTCAACGCTTTACCCTTGTAAATTGTAGCATATAGTACGGGTCGTCTTCGATGATTAAGAGGTCGTATTTTCTCGCCAAAGCATAAACTTCCTTCTTTCTCTCCAAAGTGAGGTTGGCACCTGTCGGATTTCCACCAACCGGAACACAGTATAGGAGTTTTGGCCGTGGTCCGGATACAGCCTCGTTCCAGGAACTCAGGATGTTACTAAGATCTGAGGGAATCAATCCATCTGCGTCGTTCTTGATAGTCACCGGTTTGCAACCCAGTGGTTCAATCTGATTAACATGAAAGAATTTTTCTGTATTCTTTTATAGCGAGACGGGGACATTTAAATATCATCTGATGAAGCTAGGTGAATGTGTAGTATTAAGCCTTAATAAATCTAATTTATTAATAACTGTCCAATCCTTTTGATGACAGGCATGTGTCAGATACGCACCACGTTATTGTCAACACACAACACCACTGTAACGATCTATGTAATCGCATGCGTATTTTCATAGGAATATAATTGATAGGACTGGAGTGTCAAAAACCATGCCACATCAGAAGTGAGTTAATGAGGTTTGTCATTTTCATGACATCCAATCTGAGACCACACAAAGTGTTCCTCATAAACCTTGTTTAAAGCCATTTAACGATGGTGCTTTAAACACCTTCACATCGACGTGGGAACACAGGATATCGATCGAAATGTATGGCGTACTCTGTCAGGAGCGAGTGAGATAGATTTTAGGAAACTTCTTAACGTATCTCCACATCTGTGGTCTGGCGGATAAAGAGTCTAACCGAGACCAGAAAGTGGGTGGTTCTATCCCCGGGAACGTTAGCCCCCAAACAAAACCCGGAATCCAAGTACAAGCAGACGCATGCACGCACGCACGCACGCACGCAAGCGTCGCTAAGTTCAAAATTGACCATGACGAAAAAACCTCATTTATTTCACTTTACCTAACAGCATGTCACTCATATCAGGTATGTCAGCTGAATTTGATGCTAAACTATTTCACTGACAGACCAACAACCATAATCTGGGATTCGCAGACGCTCCTTCATGCATAATGTGGTTGTCCTTATGATTCTAAGTTGCAACTGTGAGGAAACAAATACATTTGTCTTAAATACGTGCCATATTCATGACCGTGGGATACGTTGATTCCTCGACCAGCAACGAGTCCCCTTCCTCCAACACCGATCCAAGGATCTGTGTAACAGTAATATGTGGCATACAGTAAACTACGTTTGTAACGAACACGCTTATAACGAACTGACGGATATAACGAACTTATTTTTACTCACGACCATTTGTTGTATATATGCTGTACGTATGCTTTTAACGAACTACGGTTATTACGAACTAAAATTGGTGGTCCCCTCGAGTTCGTTATAACCGTAGTCTACTGTACGTTGTGCTGTGCTGATACATTCCAGTGTACCTTCTGGATGTATAGATACGATATATTATAAAAATATCATAATTAGTTTCATTTTTATGACACCAGACACTCCCAAATAACAAATCTAATATTTTATAACTACATAAAAGATACATATTAACATTCGCGCATGCAGGAAATGACAAGCTTGGGTACAGAAAAACTGGATGATGTCAGCCAACCCTGCTAATACCCTCCGTACAACCGTTGGTGCAGATTGTGATCATGTCGCTGTTTGCCGATGTGGAGACGCCAAGAGGAGGGAGGGTAGGCGGATCATGGAGGCGTCGTTGCAACTCCGTCAGCCATTCACACATCTTCAGTGACCTACAAGTTAATGTTAACAGAAACTCAGGTTTAGATACTCAGTCAACCAAGTATGACAATATCAACGGAAGGGGGCATGCTGACATTCAAAACTTGTGATATGTGTTTCTCGTATTTTAAACCCCCACCTTTGTGTGGTGGATGTAGCGTCTACCTGGCTGCGATAAAGCAAACGACGTTACAAGATGGTACTTGTTTTACCCTTCCTGGTGCTCGGAGTCAGTATACTGTGTCTGGTCTGTGTATGAGTGGAATAATCTTGACGTTTTCATCTGCCGTGTGGTTGGGACAGTCTAGTGTTTCTCATGACGATGAAAACCCGGGTTCGAAACATAACTCATACACTCTTTATCAACTAGGTAATTAGTGCTTCCCGACCCGCGAGGATCCGGGATAGAATAGGTCTTCAGCAACTCTTACTTGTCGTAAAAGGCAACTACGCTTGTCGTAAGAGGCGACTAACGGGATCGGGTGGTCAGGTTCGCTGACTTGATTGATGCATGCAATCGTATCCCAATTGCGTGGATCGATTCTCATGATGTCAAACACTGTATTGTCTGGTCCAGACTCGATTATTTACAGACCGCCGTAATATAGCTTGAATATCGCTGAGTGCGGCTTTAAACAACAAACAAACAAATATTGGTGTTTCCCATTGTGGTATTGGCAAGTGACGCTTAACAATCATGGTATTTGTGACAGCTTACCTCGCGACAGCTGTAAGGGTACTCGCAACATATGACGATACAGATGGACGTATCTTCCCCCAACGTGGAGGTATCTGACACGTATGAACTACATTATTTATGAATTAGGTTGATAGCCACTTTCTGTTAGTGCATGTTAACATTCTAGCAGAATGTTGTATCAGCTAAATCCGGCTTAGTGCCATGTATCCTTTAATCTGTTGTATTAAATACAAGTAGTTTCCCCTTTTACGTTTTGCAATATCACGCCAGGGGACACCAGAAATGGGCTTCACGCATGGTACCCATGTTGGGAATCGAACCCTGGTCTTCGGAGTGACGAGCGAACGCTTTAACCACTAGGCTACCCAGCCGCACCAGAAGAGCGGTGAGATACAAAGCAATATGATAGCTAATGTGTATTATCCAATTATTTAGTGAGAGACTTGAAATTTTACTCCAGTAAACAGATTGAGTGCATTTTCAATCTCAGCTCCCTGGGGAGTATACATTCTCAAGTAATGTTTGAACTACCGTTGTAGCTGTAAACACAACAAAACATACCCACAACTGTTCCCGTACTGGAGTGCCACTTTCATCTCATTCTCATCTATGGCTACAGTCCGACCATCTCTGGAAGGTAAAGATTCTCTCAAATAGCACTAAAGAGAAATTGTATCAAATGAAATGAGGATGGGTGCACGGTAAGAGTAATGTTTAATATGTTTACAACACGATATACATTCACTGGATCAGACGCAGTGGGATTCGAGTCCCATAATGGTTTGACATCGCTGGTGTTTACCAACTCACTCACTCAGAATGTTTATTTTGAATTCAAAACCATGCCTGTAGTACAGGTTTAAGAACAAATTGACCTACATATTTTGGTTCCAAAGCAGTAGTTTTAGGGGAGATGTAGAATCTATTGTATACCCTGATTTCTAAGTAAAGGGGGGCACGGTGGCCCAGTTGTCTAAGGCGCCGCGATTCGCTGCGCAGAGTTGCGTCTCTTGGGCACGCCAGAAACCTATGATTGTGGGTTCGAATCCCGGTTCGCCCCTGTTTCTAGGTTTGTCAGCACCATACCCGTCCTCGTGGGTTTCACCGAAGTGGTAAACGTCTGAGACCTGCATGACTTCGGGCTTTCCTCCCACATTAAGCTGACACACCGCGATATAATTGGAATACTGTTAAAAGCGGCGTTAAACTCACTCACTCACTCACTCACTCTAAGTAAAGGTTATGTTGAAGTTATGAGTGAGTGTGTCTGGTTTAACAGCACTGTGGAACACTATTGTGGTGATATCACGGCGTGTCAGCTTGATGTTGGAGCAGAGCCGTGTGAGACGTTTACCACTTTTGTGAAACCCACAAGCCGGTATGGTGCTGACAAACCTAGCAACATTATCAGGGCGAATCTGGAATTCAAAACCACGACCTTAAGTGTCTGGCATGCCCAAGGGACACAACCCTGGACCACCCGTGCTTCCGGATCGGGGGAAAATGAAAATGAGGACGATTGGACACTGAAGATCGGCGGACAAATATTCCTCCCGATATCTCAGCACACTGATCAGTTAGTGAGCTAGGGGGTCTTGTGGATAACACTCTTTATCATATAATGGGTAGGTTTCTCGGCAGGATAAAGCCAACGGATAAAAACGATATCCGTTGGGGTCATATGCGGATAGAAATGCAAATATCAAAGGTCAAGTAGGGACTACTTTCACTGTTTATAAACAAACATTGCGTCGCCCTCGTCATTCGGCGATCGAGTCAGAATTAACCATCGGGAATCTGGATAAACTACAGGGATAATTGCTATCATTATCAAAAGAACAGTCTAATACACTGAAAATCAATGCCTAACTGTGACGTAGCTAAGCCATTTTATAAGTTTTGGCAACTTTGGAGATATAAATTTTGAAACAATTTTGCGAGGGCACGAGGCCTAGCCAAGCGGGATCAGTAGCCATATATGTGCTTGTAGACCTCTGCGGCTTGAAACCTTCTCCACAAATAAAAACAGTTGGATTTGGCCGAAATATGTTTAAATTGTTACCTTGTTTCGCTTTGTCGCTGTATAAGAAACAGATTTCAGTTGGAACTATATTGGCTACTGTCACTGCCCGACTGACACATCACTTACCCTGTGACGTAATAAATATTAATGCGCGCATTCAAGGAAAACTCGCAATGTTTCGGTAATGTTTGTGAGAGAGGGAAAGCGATTTTGAAGCACAGAATTAAAGAATGACATTATATAATAAAGAGGTTATCACGCTTGTTCCTAATGCAGGATATTTACCATGATAACCTCTATGTACCTCGTACCAACCTTAGTTGTAGCTGTGCCGCTGTGATTGGAAACGTCTCCGAGTTGGGAAGACCTCCGGCCAAGTACAGCAAATCAGTTCCAATGTATTCTACAGTGAGTGTTTTCAAACATCAGTGAAGGATATGTAATTTTACAAGCTTTCAGTGAAAACTGAACGTCCTACTATTTTGTTTGTTAAATAAATACATTTATTACTTTTTACGCACATCAGGCGACTACCTGTCTTTTGAAAAGCCAAGATGCCTATATGACAGGAAATGATGTCGGAAATGAATTACCTAATATTTTTAGATGTTAATATTTCACAAAAGAAAGATACTTGTATATACCAGTAGAATATTTAGTAAGACCTAAAAGTAAAAAAATCCAAATTCAAATATTCATTATTCAAATGTTCTAAAATTTCAGTAACGACAAAATTTTTAGTTTAGTAATGAACATTTAAAATCTTTTGGTTACTTCTGTATCCACCTCACACATTGTAATCCTAGCATAATTAGTCTATTGTGATGTTTTTAAGTCCCTTTGAACTGCCAAACAATTCCAAGTTAAACTGTAATATAAATGGACTATTTTGAAGTCAATGTGTAAAGTGTCATTTTACACAATGACTGTTACATATAATTAAACTGTCATTTGTAGCTCATATTCCGAAGATTTTGTCCTGAGAGTAACGACGTTCTGCCACCACTCCTGTTCGTGACTTGCTACAAGTCTCGCTTATCGACTTGTGTCATGTGCAAAAGACAGTTACGAAACCAATCAAAATTTGTTCAAAAGTTCATTCAAAAGAATTCCGTCCTTTTCGCGAACACATGGTGTCATTACTGTATCAGTGATCCATTCATATTATGTTCACCACTATTTTGCCTTTTATACCCAATGGAATCTGTCTCGGTAGATAATCGAGACTGATTATTCTCTTGTGTTGATGTTGTATATTTGGAATGCGTGTTAAGGTGTATTATGCCTTGTCAAACATTGACACGAATGTGGTCGAATGTGTTGTACTACGAATGTGTAAGAGGACACCAGATATACTCATACTTACTCTGGAGTCCTCGAAGAATCGCTGGTCGTCTTCGTTTCGCCGATTTGTTGGAGTAATTGTCATAGTTGTTGATGCGATGGCTTGCCCTGAACATAAATATAACAGTTGTAAGAGCTTACCAGTCAGGTGCCAAGAACAGGGATGTGGGTTTGTAAAAGAACCGTATTTGGGAGTAATCGGGGCAATCTGAAGTTCAGTCTTATTTTCACCTTTCCCAAGAAAATATTGATGAGAGTAAACAAGCGGGCAAAAGAAACGTCACCAAATGAATGATGGTCGACAAATTTGCCAAACAGCACAAAAACAGTTGGGAACACATAGCTGGAATGCAACGTACCTATTCCCTGTGAAACATGTGCACGTGCTTCACGTGATTTGCGAGAAAAGTAAATATAATCAATAAAAATGCGAAATGTGAACAAAGGTATCCGTAAGAAATTCTGGTATAAAACATGAGCACTATTGAACTCTCTCATCACACCAAACCGTATAAAACAACGAACAGACCTCGACCAACCGCAGAGCAGGCGGAGAGAGCCATAGATATATATGTTGCAAATGGGAGCGACGCAGGAGCACGTTGCCAGGATCATGGACTACTTCAAGTGCGTCATCGCCAGACTTGTCACACGTCACAGGCAAACTGGCAGTACTGCAGACAGACCGAGGAGTGGAAGACCCAAGGTCACGACCCCACAGGAATACCGGTATTTACGGGTGCTTCACCTAATGTCCAGATTCCTAACTGTGACGTCATCATCCGAAAACAGCCTTGGATATTCAATCAGCAGAAGGACCGTTGCAAGACGACTCCGCCTGTATGGTCTCCGTGCCTATCGACCTTTCTACACCGACGTCACAGACTGAGATGGGCCAGGACTGTACAGCAGTGGCAGCAGAGGATTTGGCAAAGAGTGCTCTTCAGCGACGAGAGTAGGTGCCAGCTTTCAAGTCTGAAGGTCGGTTTCGAATCTACCGACGACGCGGTGAACGGACTGCACGTTGTTGCGTCCACAAGAAGTGGAGCCTTATGGAGGTGGTAGTGTCATGGTCTGGGGTGCCATCTGCGGGGACCAGAAGACAGATCTGGTCACCATCGACGGAAATCTCACTGCACGCCGTTACATTGATGAGGTGTTGCGGCCTGTGGTACTGCCTTTCCTGCAACGACACTCGCGGACGCTGTTTCAGTAGGACAACTCCACGCCCCAAACAGCTCGAGTCACTAGCGACATTCTGAACGCCAACAACGTGACCGTATTACAGTGGCCAGCCAGATCACTGGGCCTGTCGCCTATAGAGCACCTCTGGGACCAACTTGGGACGCAGAATTTGGAAACGTCAACAGCCGTCAACAGACGAGGGATGCCTTGGCAATTGCCCTGCAGGAAGAATAGCGTAGGATCCCTCATCAGGATGTCAGGAGACTCGTGTGCTCTGTTCGACGTCGTGTTAGGGCCTGAATCGTTGCTGGAGGGGGTCACATCCGATATTGAGCCATGTGTGTAGCACGGGACCTTAAAAGAGATCGACGTCGATTCTGCGGATGTGATCGAATACTAGTCAGTGCACCCAGCATGATAAACGTGTCTGCAGATCTTCAAGTACATGGATTTTGATCTTGTCATTTTCAAATACAGTTTTTGAATAATTGTTGTTTTTTTTATAATAAAACATCAACTGTTACTACATTTCAATTTAAATTGTTTTAGACCTGAAAATTGTTTGGTGGCGTTTCTTTTGCCCTTTAGTTTATTTCTGGCACATACAAATGTCTCTAAAGGAGTGGACAGTACTAGTGTTCTAATTAAGGAATATAACAGATTATCCAGTTTCTACTTTACATTATTAACAGTTTGTGTAAGCATGTACTTTCTTCATACATATGTTGTATATAAAACATGAAACCTTTATGGATAACGACGCCTTTATTCTTTGTTACAAACATTCATGTCTCCGAACCTCCTAAATGCCTATAAAAAACGTGATGTGTTTTATACTACGATACCTATTACTGCCATTTTCACATGCAGGATGAAGTGTTAAAAAATGAATAATTATTTATATTACCTTAAAACATTTATATCTTGATTTACCTTTTATTAAGCGTTAACCAGCATTCTATAAAGTTGTTTTAATGTCATGACATTGCATATCGATACAATTTCACATGTGGGTTTTGTGACGCAAATTCAACTCCTCTTGTCGGTTTACAATCCTTTATGTACACATAAACGTGACGACCTACATGTACAACTCAAGGGTCGTTTTTCATATCAGAGCAAATATGCCCCCACTTCTGGACACACAGCCGTCGCTCGCAATGATCCCTGGCCAACAAGTTTAGTTTATGATGTCAGAAAATACAAAACTCTTTTAGTAGTTATTGCATCCGCCTTTACAATGTACGAATGTACAAACATATGTACCAAACAAGAAAACGTTATGATTTGACTGTTATCTATTTGGGTTATCAGTTGCTGGCTTGATCTGAACTACTGTAGCTGCATGGGCCTACTCGTATCTGCACGTCTCTAATCGTGTATGGAAGCAGTTTCATTTATAGGTGACCTCTTGCTTCTGTTTCACATATCCGCTCATGTGTTTGGTGAATACATGATTGTGTTATGTCATTTAATGAATTCTCAAATACAGTATGATAAAAGTCTTACGGATTAAAAGTCATTGTGTACACAACCTACAAGAAGATATATTCGTCCTTTGAGAGTAAGCGTAAAAGGTTGCATGTCCCTTTCCTACTTACTTTGTTTTCGAGTTCCCCTCACACCAAGACCTATACTTAAAGTGTTTATTTTATTTTATATATGTATATATCGTTCAAATATCACAGCCATCTCACTGCATTTTATATACAACTTATTACAACACCCATTGATGATTTACGCAGTATGTGACAAACATTTACATGTAATCTCATTAATCAAAGATAATAAAAAAAAAGATAGATAAAGGTGATAAACTTACTGGGACAGGTTGGCAGTATACATAACTCAGTCCTCCGTTAGCAGAGCGCTAAGGACGGCGCGGAAAATGTGTATGTCGTTACCCTTCTGACAGACAGGAGGTCACAGCCGCCTTAGATACTCTAGACTTGCTCAAGGATAGGGAGATGTGATTGAAGTGGGAGGTGGCAGGGTATGGCTGTTTTTGTTGAGAGAGAGAGAGAGAGAGAGAGAGAGAGAGAGAGAGAGACAGAGAGAGAGAGAGAGAGAGAGAGAGAGATTTGGGATTTTAGAGGAGGCAATCGTGGGTCCATTTGTTATGGAACTCGACTAGAATTGGGTAGCCACAAAGGCAACTGTGTATGGGCACCGATGCCATTACATTGTATGTTATAGTAGATAACTGTCGGCTTCGTGCAAGATAAAATGTATTCACTAATTTTAGCCTCAGCGAAATATGACGCCAGACCTCAAACGCCGGTGGAAGAATTGACACAATACGTTTCGTGTCTATGCATCAGGTTACTTGTCTTACTTCATATCCATATCTTTGAGGCACGGCTGGCCTAAGGCACCGCAATTCGCTGTGCATGGTTGCACCCTTTACGCGTGCCATGTTGTTTTCATCGTTGGTTCAAATCCCAGATTTGCCCTGCTTTTGCAGCTGGGTTTGTAAACCATACCAGGTACTCGAGGGCTCACTAAGATTATACACGTATTACATTTGCATCACTTTGGGCTTTTACGCACATATCAGACTAATTCCGAATATAACTAAAGTAGGATTGAAGCTCACTCACAAGAATATAGTAGAAAAAACGTTCGTTCAATTGTAAATAATAGGATGGTTTATTGCATTTTTATGGTACATTTTTGTGATAATTACAATACCCATGTACCTAATATTCATTCCTCTGTTCACTTCTCCCATGGTGTCTGACCAGAGAGTGGAATGTCGCCTTGAAGGATGGAACTTGTCACACTTCCTGACGCTCGGCATCAAGGGGGAAAAAGGATTGGTATCAATGTAATACACTGACGATTTTCTATTTCAAAGTGATGATACATTTTACAGGTAATATTTACCAAAAATGAATACCACATGAATCAAACAATTTTATGTATTTATACGTACAAGTGTACATGTATGTAAAGTACAAACTAGATGGTTCAATATACATTCTCTTTCCAAATAGATATTTTCCAAATCATAGGATGCTCTTCATTGTTTCGATTGTTCCTTAAGGATATCGGCCAGCCAGGAGAAGGCCTAGAAATGAGAAAAAAATCCTTTAGTGTGTGTGCTTAGTAATAATGCTGCTTTGAACCAGCAAATTAAAACTTACATCTTTTTGTATTCTACAAACACATGTCAGTCAATGCAACAATTTCAAATCTTTCCTCAATATCGAAAGAATAATGGGTTTCAGCATGTGTGAACATGAACATTCGCAATCGTGTTTTGGTTTGAGGAACAAGCATTTAAATCCATGCTACATATATACTAACTCACCTTGGCCAAATCTTCCTCTGACGCATAAGAGTAAGATACTCTGATATAAGGGGAGTTCACCGAGGCAGGACAGAAGATGTGTCCCTGAACCACTACAGCCCCTTTCTGGATCAGCTTCTGACAGATGGGTCTGGAGTCCTCTACACCCAGTAGCTTCATCCACAGGAACATCCCAGCCACAGGATCAGACCACTCCGCCAAACCTGGCAAATGAAGATGACGATATTGACAATGATTATGAGGAAGTTAGATTGAGTATCAAGATATGCATTTTCTAAATATATTTGTGTGTGATACATTTTCACATAAACCAATATGTATAACGACATATCTAATATTGATATGTATAACATAAGGGTTCTGTTGTTGTATATATCCATTTGTACTCATGCTCCTCACTCAGGGGCAGCACTCTACGTCACAATTCTCTGTGCTTAGCCGACCCAGGAATCTATCACCTCAGATTCGAATCCCAGTTCGCCCTAATTTAGTTCTAGGTAAGTCACCACCATGCCCTTCTCTTGGGTATCACCGAAACGTCAAACATCTCATCCCTGCATCACTTTGAGTTCCCCCTACATCAAGCAGACAGGAAGTGATAATGTCCGAAATTATGTTCAAAGCGACGTTAAAGACAATTCATTCATTCCTATACATAAACAATAAGTGCCTTTAAGATATGCCTCAGCTATCCGTGAAGCATGTTGTGACCTCTTGTGGTAGAAGTTGGCAACACGGCACCCATGTTCAATGAAGCCATCATGCCCCATGTTCTGCAAGACTTTCCATACGATGGTCTGAAAATTCGAAGAAAGGAAACAAACAGAAAGATTGCCTTATATAATTTACTCCACAAGAAAACTGCAATGATGTGGTGATAAAACTTCATTTTCACCTGGAAAAGTGTTCATAGCAAACGCATGAGTTAGTGGAATGGTACGTTTTCTAAGGTATCTCAAGGTGACAATTTTACACTTGAAGAGGGCTGGTCAAAACCTTCTAAGCCTAACTAACAAAACCAACAATTGTGACAGTGTTTTGAACTTTTATTCTACATAATCTCCCTGCTTTTAGATACTCTTCTCATATCGATAGTGAAAGTTTTAAATTCTAGTCAGGAAGAAGTTTTCTGAAGCAATCCTGAAAATTCCACTCACGGCAGCTTTGAGGTCAACATTGTCGTCACAGCCCTTTCCACGAAAGTGTTCATTCATTTTAGGAAACAGGTGGAAATTACTTAGTGCCAGGTCTGGCGAGTATGAAGGATGATGAACCTCTCGAACCCACATTGTCGCACAGCAGCCTTTGCAAGTTGAGAGGTGTGAGAAAAGGCATTGTCATGAAATGGTAGAACTCCAGCAGTCAGCATTCCGCGCCGCTTTTCTGTGATATATTCTCAGGCGATAAAGCAAATCAGCATAGGAGGCACAGGTAATTGTCTTTTGACATTCTAGGTATTCAACAAGAATCACACGCTTTGCATACCAGAATACAGAGGCCATAACTTTCTTCACTGGTCTTGAAGACTTGAATTTCTTTGGTGCCGGAAAAGTGGAATGGTGCCATTCCATATGGATTGACATTTTGACTCATAGTGAGAATAGTGGTAGACCCGTGTTTTATCACCCGTTACTAATCTCTTTTTGAATTTGACAAAATCCTTCTCATTTAGCTCTAAATGTTCTCGGGCAATGTCTCCTCAAGATCAGAATTCAGAAACTTTGGCACCCAACGAGCAGATATCGTATTCATCTGTATATGTTCAGGAATAATAGTTTACTTTCAATGGATCCATAGCTAAGACCTGTGTCTTCTTCAAGTCCAGCAATGGTAATACGTCTATCTGACTGTATAAGTGTTTCTATCTTCTTGATTCTTCATTGATGGAAGGATCGTCCAGGCCTATGGTCATCACCAAGGCTTGTACTCCCAGACTTAAACATAGCTGCCCAACGTTTAGCAGTGGAATAGCTAGGACACTTATCCCCATACACTTGTGACATACGGTCATCAATTTCCGGGGGTGTACTTTTCTGTTAAGTAAAAAACACGATGACTGCTCGGTACTCGTTCTTTTCCATTTCTGTTTTCATTTGGACCCCTATCAGGTTCAACTGGTTGTCACTAACGGCCTCAACAGACCCAATACACTTGCAATCAACTAGTCAGACAAAGTACTATATTGACTAGTTCACTTTGTTATGGCCAACAGTTGAAAGTTAGTCAGGCTTAGAACATTTTTACCAGCCCTCGCAACTATCTTTGTCAAATGTCTTTCTATGGGAATATATATACCTCTGCTAGGCTGTTTGGGAAAGCATTTACGTCCTTCCATTCAATGAATTTTTCCAGGAACTGTTTTGGACCGCTCAAATACCCAATCCTTGCACTAAACACACGAACAGAAGTTCAATTGTTCAATTGTTCACTGATGGCCTATATCAATCAATCAATCAATCAATCAATCTTTATTTCAAGTACTGAAAAGGCCATAGGCCTAAAGTACATATATACATGCAGAAGCAGAGGGCATTGCAAACTTAAAATTAATAAAGCAGCTGGTGAAGATAACTTGATCCTGATTTTTTTAATATTCGTCCGAAATTCTCCTCCCCTGCCTTGAAATCCTTTTTAACGTTATTCTTGAAAAGACTTATTTTCCACAAGAGTGGACTTTGGGGATTGTAATTCATTTGCACAAACAGTTATCGACTAATGACACCAACAACTATAGGGGTATTACTCTTGAGTGTTTTCACTAAGATTTTTACCAGTATTATACACAAACCTTTAGTATTTTGGACCGATTCCTTTAATAAGAAAAGCACAGGCCGGTTTCAGGCACGGATACTCTACAATTGATAATGTATATTTCAGACGCTTGTACAGAGATATCTGGCACAAAAAGGAGAAAAAATGTATGATATATTTTTTTATTTTGCTGAAGCGTTTGACTCAATAACAGAAACATGTTGTGGTCCCTTTGTAAATCTCAAGTTATCAGTACCAAAATTGGTAAATTACTATGTTGCATATATCACAATGTGAGGTTTGTCTTTGAAACAATAACACCTTATCTGATTCCTTCTATTGTAATATTGGGGTTTGATGTATTCTAAGTCCATTTCTGTTATCGTTTTTCATAAATGAACTTTCGTTACAAATATCTGAAAATTTGTAACGAGGGCTTCCAACTCCATCCGGAAACTTTTTCTACTCCTTTTTGCTCGTGATATAGTTTTGTTCTCGTGGACAAATATATGGGAGTACATTTTACAAATCGACTCACTTGGTCACTGCATTGCAACAAAGCCGCACTGCAAGCCAAAAAGATTTTAATTGGCATTTTAGAAAACCTAAAACCCTTTGGAAATATTTGCTTTGAAACATTTTTCAAGATTTTCGACACTAAGATCAGTCCTATTCTAATCTATGGTGCTGAAATGTTACAGTTTACGGGGAATGTGGGAGATACCCTATGTATATGTTTAGTCACATGAAAGTAATAAAATATTGTATAAAATTGCTTACAATGCCAAGTACCAGATTCCCAAAGAAATGCTATAATATGATGATTCTTTACGATAGCAGAGGTAAAAATAACTGTGCCTCGGGTGTCAAAATGATAGTCCGATCTTGCGGGTATGATTACATTTGGAGACAGCAACATGTAGCAGTTCCAGATCGTAACATATGTAATTTTAGACGAATGCTAAAAGATATGTATTTTCAAAAGTGGTTCTCTTCACTATGTTTACACAATAAGTTAAATCATTACACCTGTTTTAAATCATTCATTATTACTGAAAAATATCTTTTGGATATAGATGTTAAGAAATTCCGAACAGCACTATCCCGATTCAGATGTTAGTTCTCATGACCTAATAGAAAAGGGTAGACATTTAGCAATGTCAAGGGAAAACAGATTGTGTAAATATTGCACTTGCGATGAGGTAGAAGATGAATACCATTTTTTGCTAGTCTGCCTATTGTATGCAAATATCAGAAAATAATACATACATATTTTTATCTGAATCCTAGAATAGACAAATTCTATATCATGTCATCTCAAAATGAAGCAGTCACAAAACATCTTGCAATGTTTATATACCATGCAATGAACATCAGATAGGTTCATACATGTGATATTTAATTAGTTACGATACATGTAATTCATATTGCTACTGTATGTATATATGTACTTTAGGCCTATGGCCTTTTCAGTAGTTGAAATAAAGATTGATTGATTGATGGCCTGTAAATCAAGCACGAAAGTAAGACAGCGTTCGCTCAACGATCTCGTGACCATTATAGGTGCCCATGTAATTAGTTCTTTAAAATCATTTTCGGTTAATAAGTGAATTCCGTTTTGCTTCAGTCAGCAGCACTGGAATGTACATGCATATCGGGGCATACATAAGAGAATGATATTACACAAACAAGTCCCAACAAGAAAGGTCCCATGGGTAATAGTATACGATGATACACAGTCAACCACTCATTGCAGCAGTCTCCAATTTTAATTTGTAGGGTTTTGCATTAATCGTTGGTTACTTGTGACCTTTTCTTTTCCGAAAAAGTGAGATAAAATTACAATGTCGAACTTAAAGGGCCAGAAAACCTTTAGGATACCAATCAGCTCACCCAGCAGCTAGCATTTTAGAGAAAGAGTCACATCTGAGGACACGCCCATCTACGTCTAATGACAGCAAGCTGGGTATGAGAGGCTGAAATAAGTTTGATTGTGGTTTGAAACTAATGTGGTACACGACATGATACAAGTGTATTCAAAATGAAAGAACGAACACCTGACTTCATTATTCTGTGTTAAATGTACTTTTGATTTGATGCGCGCTATTACTCTTGTGTATAATCATTGTCTGTATCAAATTAGGCTATGAGAACCTCCTTGACTCATTCGGCGTTCCTTCATACGATCATATCGCAATAATACATAAATGTTCACCTTTCATTTTTTCAAATACATCGTTAGCGTTTACCCTTGTAAATTGGAGCATATAGTACGGGTCGTCTTCGATGATTAACAGGTCGTATTTTCTCGCCAAAGCATAAACCTCCTTCTTTCTCTTCAAAGTGAGGTTGGCACCTGTCGGATTTCCACCAACCGGAACACAGTATAGGAGTTTTGGCCGAGGCCCGGATACAGCCTCGTTCCAGGAAATCAGGATGTTACTAAGATCCGAGGGTATCAATCCATCTGCGTCGTTCTTGACAGTCACTGGTTTGCAACCCAGTGGTTCAATCTGATTAACATGAAAGATTGTTCTGTAATATAGCAAGCGAAGATAACTTGGTCATTCAAAATGCTACAATGGAACTGGGTTAATGAGTGAGATTGAGCCATACGTCTTGTTGATTTTCAGTGGTCCACCTTTCCCCGCTGTTCAGCGTTTTTCACCCAGTGGAATGGTCGAAACTGGTTATTCTCTGTCGTTGCCGTATTGTATTATTAATAAATTACCACATTATGTCATATGTCATGTCAAATGCTGACTGTCTAACAGACTGATTTTTATCTGCTTGTTAGCAGCATGATTTAATAATTTTATCAAATACAGCACAATATTAACCAACAACGATTGTATAATCACATTCCGCACTCACATTGTCAAAAGAGAAAGAAAAGTGAACAGTATTTCAGTTTTTTATCGAGTTTCTGCGGCAAGTGGGAAAAAAGTCAAGTGACGTGGGTCGTTGAGACGACTCATCAACCGCGAACATGTGCTGACCAAGGACAATGATTTGTCACAACCTGAAATTCGAACCTTCTCCTTCCGAATCTATATGAATTCCCATTATGACTCTATATTGCAACTATGTGCTCTATATTATTAACCGAAGGTGTCCACAACATACCACATTCATAACCGTGGAGTAAGTTGATTCCTCGACCAGCAGCGAGTCCCCTTCCTCCAACACCAGTCCTATGATCTGTGTAACAGAGGAACACGGTGTACTGTTACAAGTCTAGTGTACGTGTGTATTCTGGATGTATTATAATGACAACAGGCACTCCCAACTGACCAACTCTGATTCTTATTATTTAATTATTGCAAATTTACCAGTTCTCATGTAGGAATGTGTATGCAGAATGAAGTTAGTGATTTCAGCCAACCTTGCTAATGGCCTCAGTACAACCATACGTGGAGATTGTGATCATGTCGCTGTTTGCTGAAGGGGAGACGCCATGAGAAGGGAGTGTAGGTGGATCGTGGAGACGTCGCATCAACTCAGTTAGCCATTTAAGCATTTCGGGTTTCCTTCAAATTAAAAAAACCCAAAACTGAATGATGTGTTGATGTGTGTAATTTCAATATCAATATAAAGAAAGAAGCCATTATTCCACACTTTCCCATAGAATCATTATGTGTGTTTCTCGCCAACGTCCTTATGGAAGCCTCGGTGGCTGAGTGGGTTAGATCGCTGACTTTGTGTGCTGGCGATTAGGTGCCTCACTCTGGCAGTGTGGGTTCGAATCCCGGAGGGGACTCAACCCAAAAAAGTACGATAATCTGTACTTTACACAGAAAGTGTTATCCCAAATATAACATTTGTTACATTTGACCACTTTCTAAATGGCATCGTGTGTTCATAGCTTTCGGCCATAGGATCCGTGCCAATTTACACATGTCAGAGAGGTACACAAAGTACGTGATCTAGACTACCACTTGTCGGACTTTCATTTTTATGAAAGCCTCGGTGCCTGAGTGTGTGTATATATGTATGTGTGTGTGCATATATATATATATATATATATATATATGTGTGTGTGTGTGTATGTGTGTATGTATGTATGTATGTATGTATGTATGTATGTATGTATGTATGTATGTGTGTGTGTGTGCGTGTGTGTGTGTGTGTATCTATATATCAATGCCTTTTTGTTTCTTGAATACTGCTCAAATATACATAGGATGTATATATTGACCCTGTATGCTTGTTAACACAATACATCTTACCCCGCACTCTTGTTGTACTGGAGTGCCACTTCCATCTCATCGTCAGCTATGTTTACGGTTCGACCATCTCTAGAATGTGAAGCCGATATTGACAGGTAGTTTAGAAACCGGCATACACAATCTGAGTAGTCAAATAGCACCTCCGAGGACGATGATGGCATGAATATGACCATGAACTGAATGAGTGAGTGAGTGAGTATGGTTTTACGCCGCTTTTAGCAATATTCCAGCAATATCACGGCGGGGGACACCAGAAATGGGCTTCACACATAGTTCCCATGTCGGGAATCGAACCCGGGTCTTCGGCGTGACGATGAACTGAATGAGTAAAGGTAGAATGGTAATATTGATAACAATACTACGACATCAGGATAAATGTTCAAAGGATCGGAGGCGTTGAGATAGAATAGTAGAAAAAGTGTTCAATCGATTCCTGTAATGAGTACAACATATGTATGTGAATCACATTGTCTTGTTTTCCAAAGTTTCTAGTCCCCTGCTGTGATTGTCCTGAAAACTCATTTCAATTCACTTAAAACATCAGAAGTACTGAACGATTATCACGAAGCCATTGCAAACAATTGGACAGATTGGACAGACATCAATGGTACCATTATGGCGGCTCGGAAGTAATCATACGAATAGTGTAGTTACAAGCATAAACAGCGTTCTACTGATCCATGATTGAATGTAATATGTTATGGTCGAATATAATAAAAAAATATTTATAGCCTATCACACATACAGATATCACAAACAATTCAATGGTGTGCATGTACTGGCTTCATTTCAAATTCAGTGGCTGCTGTGCAGGTCATGTTCAAATGTAAATTCCAAGATCTGCAATGTAGCTTAGATTGAGAACTAATGAAATGACTCAACCCAACACCTACTTAGTCGTTCAAACTACAACCATGAAAAACTCAAGAGCTATTTAACCCAGAATCTCTAAATTCTAAATTGTAAATTCTTTCGATTGCTCAAAGAGGACCTGCAGATAAATCTCGTACCAACCTTAGTTTTATCTTTGCCGCTGTGATCAGGAACATGTCCGAGTTTGGAAGTCCTCCGGCCAGATACAGTAGGTCCGACCCAAAATAGTCTACAGTGAATGTTTTCAGACATCAGGAAAGGTAGGTGTGGTTATAAATACTTCATGGCAAGTCGCATTTCCATAGTGATGGTCAATGTTACATGGAGGGAGAGCCAAAATAATTATTTATCCGCAACAATCAAATTTTATTGTAAACCCTGAGGCACTCCTCACAGTGAGCGTGCCCTGTCTCACTGGTGGCACCCCTCACAAACACATGCAAAGGCACGTCAAGGTTTTACCTGAACAAACACGGGAACATTATCTTACAAGCAAAAATAGGGAATTGCCTCGGACATCCCTTTGGTCACTGAAATTTGGGAATGTTCTCCGCATGTTCACACTGTTTGAAAGACCCCTACACGACAGGCACCAGCCACACATGGAAACCTCTACACTTGCAGCCCATTTATATCCGAGCGCACAACAAGATGTGGATGTGCCAGATGGATCATGTTTCACCACATTTGCCATTCCGTCGAGTAGAATCTCCCCCCAGAGGGCGCACACACTGATATTACCAAATTGCAAATGAGTGAGTGAGTATGGTTTTTACATCGCTTTAAGCAATATTCCACCATTATCACGATGGGGGACACCAGAAATGAGCTTCACACAATGAACCCATGTGGAGAATCGAACCCAGGTCTTCTCCGTTACGGTGACGGTTCAACCCCACCGCCCCCAAACATAGCAAATGGAAATATAGCAACTGGCTACCCATATTGAGATCTTCATGTGGCGAGAAGCATGACAAATCCACGTTTTCATTCACTCTGCATGAGCTTAGTGAGGGGATATAAGGCACATGTGGCATATGTCTACATACTCACGGCTCCCCCCAACATCGAGGATGTTAATCGTCTAGCAGTTTTGTTGAAATATTTTTCATAGTCGTTAATATGAAGACTTCCACTGAAAAGAGACACCCGTGTAAAAAGTACTAGTTCAAAGACTAATTATGCTTTCATTTATAGTTTTTCTCCCCTGTAATGCCATGGATGTTAACCCGTATGTAAAGTCAGTAAATTGATTGTTTCATATTTTTGTCATTCATTTTTGCGGTTGATATTTGAGTGATCATGTCTTGACAAATATACTAAAGTAATGTGAAAAGTCGGGGTGTTCTTTAACTTTTTTGTCTAGTTTATAGTCTCTCAACATCAGAGAAGCTCCCAAAAGAATTTCGTTGCTGTGGATTGCGTTATATGCAGGTCACATGTTGTCTTCATTTGCGCCATAGTTTATCTCTGATGTAATCGTAGTGTTCACATGAATATATCAAAGTACGATACGTATTTTAGCGGTATGCTTTGTGTAACGAGGCATGAGAGTAATGCCCCTTATGAGATGAAGCGAGGAAATAAAAAACAAGCATGGTCCACGCTACTTCGTCTTCCATCCTTTATTATCAAGTGTGACACAGCCCATTGGCTGCTTAAAACATTACAGTACTTTACATAATAAAATCTGAACAAGTAGAGGAATCTGGCTGTTTTTCTTTATTGTAGACACCTATTATAACAACACCCACTGCGGATATACATTATATGTTACATGTATAGAACACATGTTCACTTCGATGGCCTAAATATATTCGTCGAATGCTGTAAATATATATATACACACACACACACACACACACACACACACACACACACACACACACACACATATATATATATATATATATATATACGTAAACCATTCTCAGATTCTCAGATTTCGTCTGAAACTGCATTATATACAACCTTTGGTATATAAAAATACCTTTGGTATAGAAAAAGATAGCGAACTCACTTGGGCAGCTTGTCAGCATCCATGTTTAACTTACGGGAACATTTACCATTCAACTTCCGTCCCGAACCCACACGTATCACTATGAGGTTTTGGTTGAGCTGACATTGATATGGCTAGACAGGCGGTAGACAAAGGTCACACCGCAATAATCGCCCTACGTGTAAAGGAATGCCCAAAGTCTCATAATTTGTTGCGCTCGTGATGTTGGGTCGACGCCAGGGGAGAATAGAAAAGGTTGAAATTAAACACCTGAATTTTCTCCCCATTAAAACTAGTCTTAAATGGGAGTTGGAAGTTATCAGTCATGTGGTAATCATTTATGGGAAGAAAGAAAATAGTTTGGCAAATTCTGAATTTGAAAAACGGTTGATTTAGCAACGACGTTATCAAACTTCCTCCCATATATTGGTTGATAATAGCGCTTATTGTCTTATGGACACATATAATGCCGAATTACAATAAATGCTGAAGGTATTCGCTGATTTTAGATTTTACAAACTCTGATGTCAAGAGGATAATACTCAAGATAACGCTCTATGATAATAACTCATTGCTGACAAATTGTGCACACGTGTGTATCCCTTTGCATGATCAACAAGACCTAAAACGTCAACGCCGGAGAACACAGTCTCGATTACCTGGCGAAACACATTCCATTGAACGTTAAAGGTAAAATAGCGGTGATATTATACGAATGGATAATTGAAAATCATTGAAGACACCAGGTGGGGAAACAAGCTATCTATCAGATACCTAAGAATCAACAACAACAAGAACGTTATTTCAAATCAAACGTCGACTTTATTCGCATGCTTCGACCTTGACTCACTGTTCGATATACTCGTTATGATATGTGTGAGATTTAACATGGTACTTGGGAAGTACAAATATCCGCCTTTATAGAGGATTTGATTCGGTTTAAGTTTTTGCTTTTACAATTATGGTAAACGCATGTAGAATGTATATTATCACTTCAACACATGAAACCTACATTGTCTTACATGCATCCCATGTAATCCCACAATATACAATATCCTTCTACTCATTCCGTTTGCGACTGCTAAAAGGTCTGAGATCAATAGTTAACATTACATAGTGAGTGTTCAAACCTTACCATTGATCTCTAATATACATTCTACATGCATTTACCAAAACTATAACGCCTGAATCACAACTTTGTCTTATTCCTTGTGTATATGTAAAGTAAATGAACATTGTAAGCTCCATATACATTCTCTTTCAAAATATAATCTTTGCAAGGTCACGAAGCCACTGGAGCGTGATGTTCATTGTTCCTGTCTTTCCCGAAGGATCTCTGCCAGCCAGGAAAAGCCCTGGAAATGCAAATCATTTGAATATAAAATGGGCGGTCGGGTAGCCTAGTGGTTAAAGCGTTCGCTTCTCACGCCGAAGACGTTCGATTCCCGACTTGGGTACAAAGTGTGAAGCCCATTCCCGGTGTCCCCCGCCGTGATATTGCTGGAATATTGCTTAAAGCGGCGTAAAACCATACTCACTCACTCACTCACTGAATATAAGAAAACGTGATCATTGTCAACACTCAATGAACCAGTTAACTATAAGCTTGTTTTTAACCTTAGTAACTTGTTAAATTGTGTTAGAGTTTTTCTTATTTCGGAAACATTAGGATACTATTTTCTGTACTCTTCAAATTACTAGATGTTATTCTCAAAAAAAGCCGAATGGGTTTCAACATGTATCAATATGAAGATTCAAAGTTCGCTTCCCTTGTGTTATTTATGCTACTACTCTACCTGATCTAAATCGGCCTCGGATGAGTAAGAGTAAGATACTCTGATGTAAGGGGACTTAACCGAGGCAGGACAGAAGATGTGTCCCTGGACCACCACAGCCCCTTTCTGGATCAGCTTCTGACAGATGGGTCTGGAGTCCTCTACATCCAGTAGCTTCATCCACAGGAACATCCCAGCCATAGGGACAGACCACTCCGCCAAACCTGGCAAATAAAGATGCAAATGGAGACAGTGATAATGATAATTAATATGATGATGTATCCGAAAATGTTCACCTAAAAACATGTAAGTGATCAATACATTGTCACATAAACCAGTACACCAATATTGTTGATAATCCTTTTGTGGGGAGTATAAGTACATTATGTATTCATGCTCTTCACTCTGCGGGTTGAAGTTGTAAAGCTCCGCTGCGATCGGATATATTTACCCTTAAGATGTTTGTCAGCTGTCCTTAGAGCACGTTGCGACCTCTGGCGATAGAAGTTGGCAACACGGCACCCGTGTTCCATATAACCGTCATGGCCCATGTTCTGCAAGACTTTCCATATCATGGTCTGACAGAGAAAAGAAACAATAATTATAAGGATTGCCTAATATGTACAAGAAAATGGCAATTATTTGGTGTATGATTCAGACGAGATGTACAAAAATAATTATGATTTACATAAAACTTGTATAGTACGTTACAGTTATCGTTCATCACTATAACAGTCGTTATTCAAAGTAGAATAATGTCTTCTAGTCTAAACATGGGAACATAATGTAATATATACCTCTGCCAGGATATTAGAGGAGCCAATTTCTGCATCCTTCCATTCAATGAATTTTTCCAGGAACTGTTTTGGGCCACTCAAATATCCAAACCTTGCACTAAACACGTGAACAGAGATTGTCAAAAAAATCACAGGTGGTCATCTTGGGACTGTAATTGGCACGTTTTGTGGAACGGAAACACTGTCCACTGCGAATTTGAACAAGATGATACATTACGAGACAGTGGATCAGTACCTTTGGACTGCAAAATTGACCAAAGTCCATCTCTAACAAAATTACGTGTGTTTCAGGTAACCCGACCGACAGATTGTTAAGGAAAGGGTTATGTAGCTTTTAATCATTCAGCTTGGACCGAAAAGTTGTTATCATAGCTGCAAATATTTAGCATCGTTGCTGTAAATATGTGACCTGTCCAACCGAGAACGCACTGCAACTCACATGAAGTCTAAACAGGCCATCTGTTTTTATATAAAATAAGAAACCTGACAACACATACCTATTTAGTCTAGGTTACCTGAAATTCACGTATGTTTATTTGGCCTATTATGTTATAAGGTTACTTATAAGTGAATAACGTTTCCTCACGGTCAGCAGCACCAAAGCTACACTAACAGCGATCTGTATTTACGAATGCTTCTATCACAAACAAGTCGTTCATGGAGCAAGCGTTTGCACAAAGTTATGTCATTGGGTGCGGTGACTAATACGCAACCGTGTGCACAGAGAACATCTACCCGATAGTCAGATAGACAGATATTTTATTTAAGTCTCACCCTGCTGTACACCATTCTTACATTAAAATCACACCTGTTGGATGAGAATACATAGGCCATTCCTTATGGGATTATGTGAGACTGAAGTAAAAGATTTGAATGAATGAACGATTAACAGAAAAAGAATTTTGCAGAAGATTAAAATAAGGAGTATATATGCTGATCCACAGGAAGGTTCTCATTTTGTCAGTTTAGTCTGGTCTTGAAGAAATCAAAAGAAACTTAGAACCTATTCTTCTCTGGAAACCCCAAAACAACAATAATTAATATTAAATATAGGTTGAACGGTTGCTCGTAACGTCGAACTGAAAGGGTAAGAAAAATACAGTATAGTAAAACATCTCACCCAGCAGACATCAATTTAGAGAAGGTATCACATCTGAAGACACGCCCGTCTACGTCCAATGACAGCAAACTGGGTATGAGGGGCTGAAATATGTTTGATTCCAGTTATCTAAAGTGTGTTTCTAATGAAACAATGATAATCTGACTCTAATGTACGCACTGAATCATTGGATACGAATGTTATATCACGGCGCGTCAGCTTAATATGGGAGGAAAGCGCTAAGTGAAGCAGGTCTCAGACGTTCACCACTTCGAATTCGGATTCGAACCCGCGAATAATTGGTTTCGGGCGTACCCAATGGACGCAACTCACACAGCGAACTGCGGCTCCTTAGACGACTGGGCCACCCGTGCCTCTTTGGGCTAGAACTACCAAATCGACCCTCTTCAATTTTCTGCATACCATCATTTATTTACCCTGGTAAATTGAAGCAAATAGTAGGGGTCGTCTTCGATGATTAACAGGTCGAATTTTCTCGCCAAACCATAAACCTCCTTCTTTCTCTCATAAGTGAGGTTGGCACCTGTCGGATTTCCACCAATCGGAACACAGTATAGGAGTTTTGGCCGTCGTCCGGATACAGCCTCGTTCCAGGAACTCAGGATGTTACTAAGATCCGAGGGAATCAATCCATCTGCGTCGTTCTTGATAGTCACCGGTTTGCAACCCATTGGTTCAATCTGAATATAGGAAAGAGGTGTGAAGAACATTTTCTTCATTCAAAACCCTGTAATGTACATGTACCAAAGTAAAATAAAGGAGATTAAGCACAAGTAAAATTCAACGTCCTCAAACCATGTGGAATGATTTGTCTGATTTGCAAGTTTACTTTTCGCGAACACCTGGCATCCTGATTGTTTGATTATGATTCATCAACACATGATCATGATACAGTCGGAATCGGATAATCGACTCCCCCTTTACACAGGGCTGCGACCTTTGTACCACCTTTGAGCGATCAAAAACTGGCCAGGACACTCAATGGTCGCCTTAACCTAGAAAATCGTGTTTCTATGTAACTGCTCCAGCAGTTGTTCAGCAGTAACTTCTCGAGTTGTTCAGCGTCTGCAATCACAATGAAGGTTGCTCAAAGGAGGCAGAAAAGAGGCAGAAGCATTGCCATGGTGTCTCAAGGGTTGCCCTGGTCGCCGAATTGAGGCATGGCGGTCGCCACAGTCATCGCCCAAAGGAGGCACAAGGGAGGCAGAAGCATCGCCAAGATTGACGGGAAAATTTGCAGCAGAACGCACCAATTACCTGGCGTCCATTGGGCGATCACTGTGCCTTCATTCTGCAACAACGACAATACTTGTGCCTCTCATCTGCCTCCTTTGAGCCACCTCCTCGGCGACCTTTGTGCGACCGTTTTGACACAACCCAGAAAAGTAGGAGAATCTGTACATTACTACAAAGTGTTATCCCAAATATCACATGTGTTAAATTTGACCACTTTCTAAATAGCGTTGTGTATTCATAGCTTTCGGCCATGGGATCCGTGCCAATTTACACTTGTCAGAGGGGTACTTCAAGTACGTGACTTGAGACTACCAGTAGTCGGACTTTTGTGGAAGTCTCGGTAGCTGAGCGGGTTAGATCGCTGACTTTGTCTGCTGGCGATTAGGTGCCTCACTCTGGCAAGTGTGGGTTCGAATCCCAGACGGGACTCAACCAAACAAAGTATGAGAACTGAGAAATTTGACTACTTTCAACATGTGCAAAAATTCACGGCCACCATGGCGTCCATGGAGATGACTGAACCTCCTGTGTATCACCTTGGGAAGACCTAGGCAACCACTCTGCCTCCTTTGGGCCTCCAACGACGACCTGGCAAATTTTATAGTCGCACACGGGTGGCACATAGGTCGCCATCCTGTGTAAAGGCTCCATTAGAAAGGATTGCTTGTGGCTATGGAAAGAGTTTGGGCTCTTTCATTCACATACTGACAATCCGATCTTACTTCTCTTGTGTGGATCCAAGTAGGAACAAAATAAAAAACTCACCACATTGTTGTTGTTTTTAAAACAGCGTCTCAATTGTAAACGGTTTAAATACGGGTCAATACATAGAGGTTATCACGCGAGTGTGTTTGGGGATGATACATATCCTGTGTTAGGAATAAACATTGTATTAAGCGAGCCTTGGCGAGTATTACACAGCAAGATACACAACGCAGTCACGATCACATGATGGAGGTAATGATGTTTCACGACATATTAAGTAATATTCCAGCACGGCGGGGGACGCCAGAAATGGTCTTCACGCATTGTACTCATGTTGGGAATCGAGCCCGGTTTAACTACAAGGCTACCCCACCGCTCCTCACATGATCAGAAGAATTAGACTAACATGTAGCATTATTGGGCAGCCAATGCTCATTCAGAATTAGTCGTGTCTATTCCAGCTTGGGATAACATTTCAGTTATATTATCGTGTCTGACTATAGTGTGAGAGAAGAGTCAACAATTACGCACGTCATGGACATTAATGATATTCACCCATTACGGGTTAGGTGCTGCCTGACCAAGGACAAAGATTTGACACAACCTGAAAGTAGAACCTGCTCCTTCAAAATCCATATGATTTCCAATAATGATTCCTTATTGCAACTATCGAAAATAT